GGGTCAGTTTACAGAGGACAGATTAACATGTAATGAACTGTGTTTTCAGTGTGATATAAGCTACAAATGCAGCATCTGCATTCAAAAGGTATTCTTCTAGTGTCTGTCCAGGAGAACTGTGATCTGCACGTACTTTTGTAAACTATCAGTTGTTCCTGCTACAAAACTCTTAGTTCCCCAGTACATGTTTCTATTTTTGCCTGCATTGGTACCTGATTTTAGAAATAATTCCAGTATTCACAATCTTAATTATAACATCAAAAATTACTTGAGATGTTTCCTGTACTGAGTTTTATTTTTAACGAACTATGGCCTGTTTCTTTGACAGGATTATTTAATTTCATCGTTTATTTATCTGTCCTTAATTGTGCCCTGAATTCCAAGATGATTTGACCTGACTTTTGATAGAGAATATAAGTAAATCATTGGATTTTGAACCCAAGGGATCAAGTAGAATCAAAACAGCTCTCCCCTGCTTTAGCCTGGTATTGAGGACTGAGAATTAGGGACTCCAGTAGGCAAGAAGGGAGCTTTCATTAGTAAAGAAGTTTCTTTCTCCTCTAAGGTATATCTGATACCTTCCTCATTTCTCCTCTCCTCAATGTGATGGGTACTGTGTCTTATATTTCCTGTCCTACATCTTCTCTGCAGTTTTTAGAAATATAATAATTGCAAACCAGAGAGCTTATCTCACTTTGTGAGCCTCCCGGTTTCTGTCATAACAAGCAATATGGTAAATAATTTTGTTTGACTGAAACCAGATACTTAAAATATCTAATTTTAAATGTGCCTGCAACAGTTTGCTGCCACAGGTTATGAAGGTTCTAAGTGATTGATTTAGTCAGAAATGAGAGAGGAATAATTACCATTCACCTTTGAGAAAATGCACAGAATTGAATGTTGGGAAATATAATGTAATTAGGCAGCTGCCAGGAGAGTTGCCCATCCTTATCAGTCTCCATGGCAGCAGTGGTCCAAAGAGTCATCAAGCAGTTACAGAAATGAGGTGAAAATGATCTTCTGCAAGAACTATATCAATTTAGAGTTGTTTTTTTTTACTCTGACTTGTCACTTGACAGTAGTATCAAACAAGAAGACATTTACTTTTAAACTTGAGGTATTCATGTGGGGTACTTTCATGTGTGGGATAACGTCTCATACATGAAGATATGTGAGCAGAGTTGGCTAGAGCTGGGGGTCAGACTAGATGACCCGGGAGGACCCTTCTAACTTGCTCTGTTTCTATGTTTCACACATCAGAATTAGTTGCCAACATTAACTGGCCCTGTGTGTTTCAGGTTTTGGAGATTTTTTTACATTTTAGCTGTGTGCAAGTTATCCTTTCTGGCTACTTATGAAAGTTGCACATAATTGCACATATGGCATCTTTAATTACCTTGCATTGTAAAATATATAGGCTTGGATCCAGAGAAGCATAAACAGAAGAGGATTACTGGAAGGTGATTTTTCTCCTCTCAGCCACAAGTCCTTCAGCCCTGAGCCTTGCAGGAAGAATGTTTGAGAAGAAAAATAGGAAACATGTAGATACATGTAGAAATTTAATGACTGTCAAATAAATAAAGGAGAAATATGGATAGTGTTAAGGGCTGAGAAGTGAATGGAGGAGAAATTTGTATACCTACAGTAATTGTTCTGGAAAAGGAGGGGTTAATATCTCCCCTTTCTTGATTAGAAAAGATAGAAGACAAAGAGAGGAGTCAGGTCTGGCCAAGAAAAGGAGAGGTTCTAATGCAAACTGGATGATCTAGCACTCACTGCACTTTTGAGAGCAAAGATCACTCACAGCTTTGCTTTCCCTTACAGTTTACTTTCTCACAGTATAACACAGTTATAATCCTGTGCCCTCCCAACAACAATGTTGCCAGCACAAGTAGCAACAGAAAGGAAGTGATAATATAGTACATGGGTCCTCAAACTACGGCCCACCATGCCCATTGATCCGGCCCGCCATAGCTCACCATGCATGCATGCGCACGCACGTGGCGAGCTGCCAGCTTGCTCGCAAGGAGATCATTTTGGACTCGCTCGGAGAAAATGATCTCTGCACATGCATGCCTCTGCCTTTCTGCGCGCGCACACATGCGCCCCCCAGCTTGCACCCCCGGTCCACACCGCCCTGGCGGCCCACGCCCATCCCTCGCACCTTTCCACTGACCCCCTGTTCAAAAGGTTTGAGGACCCCTGATATAGTACCATCAAGTACAACTCCTATGGAATCTCTGGCCACTACATTTTCACTCACTCATCATCCCATGGCTCAATCGTGATAAAATGGCCACCATGCTCCCTGCATTGCCCATACACAAAAGGCAGCAAAAAGCAAATAACTGCAGGGACATCGTGGTGGCTTCAGAGAGGCCAGCTCACCCTCCCCTACGCACAAGGTCTGAAAGCAGGGTCTGCCACAAGGCTTCAGGCTGCCCAGCACCCACTGTTGGGGTGCAAAAATCCCAAAGCAGCATTTGCCTTGCCTTGCCTTGCCTTGCCTTGCCTTGCCTTGCCTTGCCTTGCCTTGCCTTGCCTTTATAAATAGCCATGATGGGAGGCTGATGCAGGTAGAAACTGTTACTTGTGATGTTACCTAGGGATGCATATAGTAGTTTGCAAGAATGGACTGTAGGCTGAAAGGGAAAACTTCATTGCCACAGTCCCAATCCTATTAAAAAAAAAAACTTAGGAAGGGCAAATCACATGACAAATGGCATGTCTCATTTAGCCCTAAAAGAGAGTGAAAGAGAGAAGACAGCTTTTTTTTTTTTCAGAACAAAAAATGCATGTCTGTTTTTATTAGAAGGACAGTTTCAACTCTGTATAAAGAACTTCAATAAAAATCCAGTTAACATCTCCCTCTCTCCATATATATACTACACATGTGCGTGTGTGTAGTTACACAAGCATATTTTAAGTGCCTTTCAGTATTTTTAAAACAGATTTCCAGGGACAAATATAGTTCAGATACTTCCGCTTGTCTTCCCATCCCACTGAACTGCTGGCACAGCACAGGATTGTACGCACGCTGCTGCCTTCATCAGCCAGCTGCCTGCTTCTTCTGCGTGTGTGCTGCTTCCCTGTGGGATAGCAAACATGGAGTACACATAGGCCAAATGACATAAGGGCTTTCCTTCAACATGCTCATTTGCATTCCATTTCTTTGTGCTTTTTTTTTCTTTTTGCTTCTTCTAATGCAATAACTTTGTTAAACACTGGGGTATTAGAATGAGATTGGGTGCGCACATTCAGAGCTTAGTTGTACATTTCACATTTGAATACTGATCTCATAACCATTTCCAGAAGGAGCTAGAAATGTATATTGCATGATAAACAGTATTTCATTTGGATTTCTCAAGTTTAGTTCCAGTGGAAAGTTACTATGCAAGTTCAGAATGATGCTCTGTGTGTCAAGAATCTAGCTTGAACCCTCCACCTGTTTTCGGTGGTGGGGCAGGAAAGGTGAAAATCAGAATGCATAGTGATTATCTCTACTGAACATAACTCGCTGAAGTTTTTCCTCAACCCCTTAATATCCTGAAGTCAGCTGCTTATGGGAAAGCCTACATGGACATGGGGAGGGGGCCATGCACCTTCCCACTTGTGCTCCCTTGCAGCTGGAGTTTAGAGGAATGCTGCCTCTGATATTGGAGGCAATAACCACCATAACTATTGATAGCATTATCCTCTATGAATTTGTCTAATTTGCTGTTAAAATTTGTTCACATTTGTGGCCATCACCACCTCTTATAATAGGGAATTCCATAGTTTTGCTATGCCCTTTGTGAAGAAATATATCCTTTTATTTTTCCTGAATCAGCCTCTCCCCAACAGGTTCTAGTCCTGGGAGAAAGGGAGAAAAATGTCTCCCCAGCCACTTGCTCTAAACCATGCATAATTTTGAGCAGCTCTATCATGTCTCCTCTTACTAGTATTTTTTTCTAAGTTAGGAGTCTCTCCTAGGGAAATTGATTCAATCCCATTGTTATTTTAGTTGCTCTTATGCACACCTTTTCCTGCATCAGCTCCGCAATATCTTTTTAGGTGCATCAGTCGGAACTGTACACACTATTCCAAATGTAGCCAAACAATAGATTTGTACCCTGCTCTTATTCCAAGCAGCTTGGCTTAGGGAGGACCAGGCTACTGAACACTTTAAAGGGAGGCTGCAGCTTGATGTTAGTGGCTAGTCCATTGTGGGATGTCCAGGGCTGGGGCAACTTGTCAAGGCTGGAGGAGTTCCATTCTCTCATTAGGCCCTTAGAATACTCTCCTAGTGCATGGAGGGAGTAGGATGGCAATCAAGATGATTATTCTGGGTTTGAAAAAGAGAATGTGTATGAACATGGCCCTGAGATCCTCAATTCTCTAGCAATCTCCATCAGTTACAGAAGAGGCTGAGCTCCCATTTTTCTTTCATTCTTGCAAGGGGTGGAGAACTAGGGTCACTGACATGACATCTGGAAATACTTTGGTTTTATGCTGGTGAAGCCAAAAGGAAACTTTTCCTGGTATCTATCCACTTATTTTTGTCTCAAATGGACCCATTCCCAGTATTTCTGAATCGATAATTTATTGAATAAATTCTCCCCTGCAATGCTACTCTGTGCTGCACCATACTGGCTTTCTCCCTTGTTTTTAAGAAGAGTCACCAAACTGGAGAATTGGATGTCATGAATATTTAAGCCCATGTGTAAAGAGGAATTTTACAATGCAGAATATAGAATTCTGGGAAGTTACCAGTGAGGCAGTTCTTTCAGGCTGCAGTCCCAGGCTCACCTGGGAGTAAGTCGACGGAGCATAGTAGGAATTGCCTCTAAGTAAATGTGCATAGCATTGTGCTCTCAATCACTTGATCACTGAAGCTGAAGTGCAATTTCTGTCTTTCCTTCTCTCAGGTTATGCTGCTAACCTGTATGAGCTCTTGAACACAAGTATAGCAGTGGGAAAAGTAAAGGTCTATAAAGTCCCAACTTTTGCTTTTTTTTAAGGGACCTTGGAACAGCTCTCTCTCGTCTTCAGGTTTTGTGGATGGTTCGCTGTGGACTTCCAGATTTAGATGGGATCTCATCCTGCTGCTCTTTGAGGGTAGGACAATCAGGGATTGGATCTGTTCTCTCAGTTGCCATGCTTATTTAACGTCTGACTTCATTGTGCTTCTCACTAGCTTTTTGACAGGAGTGGGGCAACAAATTAATGCTTCATATCTGTTTTATAATGATACTAGATTTGTTTATGTATTAATTTTAAGTCTGATTCAGATACTACTGCCATGCAGTGTACTTAAAAGAGATCACCCTCAGAATGTTATCATACATTAGAAATCTGACTCATCAGAATTCAAAATCAAAGAATCTAAAAATATGATGCATGCTTTAAAAAAGGGATTTGATTAATTCAGTATTGCTACACAACATACCATGTTTACATTTTAATGTTGATACGATCCCTTGATTTCTTTTAGGAACTCTACATAGCCTACAACAATATCTCTGACATAGCTCAAGTTAGCCAGTTGGAACATCTTGAGATTCTAGACCTAGAAGGGAACAACATTGAAGACCTCAGTCAGATTCAGTATTTGGGGCTCTGCACTAAACTATCTACTCTTACAGTGGAAGGAAACCTTATTTGCTTGAAGCCAAGCCCGCAGTCATCAGAGGTATGTGTTTAGGCTTAATTCCAGAATGTGCATCTTGTTTCTTTATCAAAATCTAATCGTAGAGGGAAGTTGCTTAAGGTTTTACTACAGCACGCAACAGATACTCACCCCAGAAGAATAGGTAAGTGGCAGTATTGCTAGTGCAACCTAGACAAGGTGGCTCATACTTCAGTTTGGTAAGCTGAGGGAAACCTAGGATTTTAATAAGCACTTGAGAAATCAAGCACGATGAAATTCAGAGCACAATTATTTGGAAGTGTTTTGAAATCAGCAAGATTTAACGTTGAATGAGGATGTGTGAGGAAGAAGCAGAAAATGTCTGCCCATTTTGTTTTTTAAAAACAGCTACTACTTTCTTAGACATCCTTCTTCTGGGTGGCTGCAGTTCAGAATCCCTTGTCCGTACAACTCTTCTTCCTTTCTAGCACAGTAACCCACTTGTGCTGCATTGCAAGCCACTTCTGGAATTCTCAAGTTCCTCAGGGATAGTTTGCAGTGTCACATGGAGGACCGCTGTGCTGGAAGGAAGCAAAGAGCCTTTCTGCGCGCACCACAGGGGTATACTCCTCTGCTGCATGGACAATCTTGTATCGTGTTGCACGGTGACAGTGAAGTGGGGCCTGGGTCAGTGACATGCTGGCTGTGGGTGAATAAACTGCAGTATAATCTAGGCAGGGTGGAGGAGTTAAGGAGGTGCCAGTCGGGGTTGTGCAGATCTGGGGATGGATGTATTTTCTGCTCCCCTGGAATCAAGTTTGTCACTGTGCTTGAATGCCCACATGACAACTGTGGGCCTGAAACCATTTCACCAAATTCAACTCATCTTAGTAACATCCAGACTGGATTACTGTAATATTGGGCTGCATTTGAAGATACAGGGACACTCTGACTTCAACATGTAGCAAGTAGAATCTAGTTACTAAATTATTTTGTGGTCAATGCTGGACAGGGGAGGTAAATGTATCTAGAACTGTAGCATTATTTCAATTCCATTAGCTGCCACTTAGGTTTTGGGTCCAATTATTTCTATAGATAAATAAATAGAAATGCTTTGCCCACTAAAATTATGACAATATTTTACTTAGGCAGAGGAACCTAAAGAAAACAAAGCCTCATATATAAGTCTGCTTCTGAAGTAGTCAGCATAATAGCCATAGCAACTGGGAGAGCTACCAGTATGGAGGGGAGGGTATTGCTGAATCCATTTATTGTATATATTTAAAACATTTTATACTGTCTTTCACGCTTTTAGAATTTCAGGATGGTGTACAGTTATCATAACAAAATATAATAGTAAAATTTACAACATAATAGAATGCCTGAGTAAGCAATGTAGTTTTGCCAAATATAGGCAGATTCTGGAATGGCAAACAGAGAAATGCTGATCCCAGACCCATCCTTTCTTGAATGTGGAAGAAGTACAAGTATATAGATTTTGACCTAACAAATACATCTGCTAACTCTGACTGGCTACCTCCATGTAACAAAGCTGAAATTAAAATTACATATACTGATTGAACTAAATTTACTGCTCTCTCTACAGGCTGTCTGTTTGCTCAGTGTAATTTGATTTCCAGATGACCTCATCTCTTCCTGTCTTCTAAACCAAAAGCAACAACCTAATGATAAATGTGGAGATCTCTAGCACAGCTGTTGTTGCAGTAGCATTGTATGTGTTTGTAATGTGATATGTAATGTGATGCACTGCCCAATTGGGACAGTATTGCAGCTTGAAAATCCACAGCTGATGCATCCTCTAAAGTGCAGGCACAACTACATGAGCACATGATTTTGTCTTTGTGAACCTGCATGAGGTGCTTACTCACTTGTGAAGAAGAATGTTGCCTGAAAATTAGTCAGCTTCTCTGCCAGATCACATTGCCTCAAAAAAGAATGGCAATTTATAGCACATTCTTAAATAACCCAGGTGTATATATTTAGTGCCACTGTGTATGCTAGAATTTTCTTTTGTACCAGTAGGTTTAAAGGGTCTGTATGCAGAACCTAAAGCAGTTGCTGCATTTGCTCACTGATCTTATAGTCTAAAGGCTCTTTCAGGCACAACCAATTGTTATGCACATATCTTGACCCCTCCAACCTTCTGGAGCATCCCACCTGGCTATAGCATAGCACCTGAGCTCAAGGAGCTCTGCAGCTTGGTCATTTCTTCTGCACAAGATGAATCATATCCAAGGAACCTGGACCACTCTGGCACGAACAGTGTAGAGGAGACTTTGCAGAACCCTCCCTGTAGGTATGCCAGCTGCTTATGCTTTGCCTGTGCCTTGGCTGCATGAAGGGGGAAACAGAGCCCTGGCAGAGAAAGCTGTCATTCATACTAGAGAGAAGACTGCCAAGGAACCTTTTGCAGCACCTCAGCTTGTGAAGGGATAGGTCAATAGATTATTGATAGTTAGGCCATTGGTTGCTAAACAGGTCCCTGTGACTTAAGGTGCAAGAAAATAGGGAGGGCAGTAAGAAGAAACTGCAATAATCCATATCATGACTGGATGGATGCTAACCTTGCAGGATCATCTTTGCCCTTTTACTAGGATCCCAAAGACCACCAACCAGAGGCAAGTGCAAAATATTGGCAGGACATGGAAGAAGGGCAGTTGCCATGCACTTAAAATGAGGAAACAGGGAGTCCAGTGCCCTTAAAATTCCACACTCATGGTAGCCTATGGGGGCTTTATGTGATGCTGTCAATCTCGAGGGCTCCTTCAGTTCTTTGCGCCCATTTCCATAGTTTCAAGGAAAGTCCAGATCATTGGTGAAGAGCTCCACGGAACTTGGTGCATTTATGCAATTCTGCTATACCACTGGGCTGCCTGTGGGTTCTGCAATGGAAATCAAAGAAAGAAAACCCTGGGAAAAACATGCATTAAAGAGCTGGTCTTAATCTATCAAGGAATCTGAAAGCACATGCCTTAGTAAACTGGTATGCTAAAAGCCTCATGTAATAAAGCCCAGAGTGCTGCTGAGTACATGTTCACCCCTGGAATTTGTTTGGTAGTGGAGCTGACCAGAATAGTCTGTTTACACAGAAATTAGTTCCTGAGGTTCCTGCAAGAATTCTTTGTTTCAGCCACTTTTAAGACCAAACCATGTGTGGCAATGATCGTACAAGTGGAAGTGTGTGACTGTTTGGCATTTTTATTTAGTATATAGCAGCTATGGTGTGGAGTGACTGGGATCCGGGCAAGGAGGAGGAGAAGGAATCTAAAGCTTTGTCCCCAATATAACCCCCGTCTGGATCAGCTCCCCACCCCCTGTTGCTCTGTTTGGTTTTTAGAAAAAGACAAACTTTTTAGTTGCTATTGTTGAACAGTTGAGAGTTAGAAATGCTTGCCAATCTGCCACAATCCATTACGAAGCCTTCCTCCCTCCTTTTACCTAGATGAGCTAATCTGAGATGATGGAGAGTAAGGGTCTACAGGGCATGGCAATAGCCTGAGGATGAAGAGGAAAGAAGCAGACATAAAATAATGTCAACAGCATAGTCATTAATGCAAGCCAAGGAGATGGAGAGCACCGCCATATCCTTAAAGCGCAGCAGTGATCTCTGTGTGTATGCAAACACTCCCAGTGGGGCATCGAGTTAGGGCTTTTTTTACATGGGGCATTTATAGGACTGGCAGTTGCTGTATTTACGTTTGGTTTCATTGCAGCATTGAGATCTGAGGTTTACACAGAAAGCTCTTCCTTTCCTGCTTTTCTCCTAGGTGGAGCTGTGGTATAGCAGAAATATACCAGGAGACCAAGGGCCAGTTTCCCTGTTCTAATTTAATAGTTCATTTTCCCCATTCTAAAAAACAAACAAACAGCAAAGTACTTTGCAGGGTGGGAGCAGAAACAGAAGTGAAACTGGAGAATCATGATGCCATCTAACGAGTTCCTAAACAACTGAAAGTAAAGAGTCAGGAGTGTCTCAGTAAAAGCTCATTGAAATATTAGGTTGTATCCATTGCTATTCCCATTTAGAATAGGCCTGTTAACATGAATAAAAGTTACATTAATCATGGTTAACTTAAGTCCTATTTCTTCCCTAAGTAAGAATAATATAAGATACAATCCAGTATCTGATTACTAATAGTTAAATAGGCCAAATGAAGCTAGAATACTTTAGGTTTGAGTTGAATGTTTGGTACCTACGCAACAAAGGCATGCTTGGTTCAGCTGAGAAAGAAGTGTTACTTTCATACTTTTCATACATGCTTCATGCCTATTTCTCAGATTCTGTTCTGTGGCTAAAATAACCACATTCTGGAATTTTCTGGTTTGTTGCTTTTTCCAGTCCCCAGACTACAACTACAGAGCTGAAGTGAAGAAACTCATTCCTCATTTAAAATATTTGGATGAAATACCAGCAGACCAAACTGTTCTTACTTTCCCATGCAAGATGAACAAAGACTGGCTCATTGTCAAAGAATCCATCAAAGAAGGAAATTTAGTTGAAGAGGCTTCAGGTTTAGGTATGCTAAATTATTTTGCAAGGCACATTTTTGCTAGTGGTAAGGTCTGAAGGAGGGGGGATGCTCATAAATAGGTAAGGGGCTTATCCCAATGGTGAGGGATAAGAATGGGCAGGAACCTGCTTCTGTGAAGAGGGAGCAGCAGGAGAGAGTTAGACATGTAGAGCCCATGCATGGGGCATGCACACAGCTGTGGGGCAGGCAAGGGCTCATGTGGGCCCCTTCTAGTAGAGATGCTCCAGAGGTGAGAGGGCTGTGAAGTCTTGCACGTAATTCCCCCAGCTTTCTTTCCCTCACCTTTGCTAAGAAAAAAGTAGTTGCAGGTGGATGGGGCAACAGCTGACGATGGAAAGTTTAAGCATTTTTCCAATGCGTTGCTCCAGCACTCGAAATTACCCACCCCACTTTCCAGCCGGTCACAGCAAAGCAACATTTGATGACACATGACCACCATAAAGCTGCCTGAGGTGATTTTAGGTCCATAGCTGGAACAGTGCCTAACATTAGCTTCTTGATCAGGTCTTGTGGTCTTTTGATTATATTGCTTGTGATGAAGTTCAGTAACCGTGAAATAGGCATCCTGAAAATTCCCAGGTAATTCAATACTTATTTGAATTACCCATTCATTTATAAAATAAGTGAATAAAGACTCAACCCCCCCCCCTTTATCTTTCATACAACTCAGGAGTTACTGGCATTATGCTATGCTTTTTGATGAAACTGTTTCTGTTCCTTTTTAAGAAACTGTCTGTAGAACCTGAGAAACTCTAAGATCATAAGACTTTGCTAAGTGTATATTTTTAAAAAAATTAAGAATGGTTGGTCACAGTTGCAGTTGACAGATGCTGAAACAGAGATGAGCAGCTTGCCTAGTATGTGGGCCCATCTTGGAAATACACCAAGAATTAGAAAGCTGTGGGTGCCAAGTCAGAATGGGTAGTATATGTTTAGTAAAACTTCTATACTGAAAAATTTCACCCAAATGTGAAAAACCTGGACTAGCTCTAATTAATTTAATGTGTTCTTAAAACCATTCTGATTTCAAAGCTCATTCGAAATGTGTGCGCCTGTTCTTACATTATGAGGGTGTTTGTCCACATTGACATAAGCTGTCCATGTAGCTGTACCACCATTGTGGCTAATTTCAGTGATATCTTCAAAGGAAAGGTAGCACGTCCAAGGCTGTAACAGGATTCCTGATGTTGTACCTGCCTGAGGGACGTGTGTGACTCTCACTTGTTCCAACAGTTGCATGAGAAAAGAAGTACAAAACTACCTAAAGATAGGGAAGTAACTTTTTCCCTGTTCCTTATTTTGTTGCTGATCTCATAAGCCAAGCACTATATCTTTTTTATATTGTGGTATTTCATGGTAGGCATGTCATGAGCGGAGCCAGCAGGAGTTGGGGGCCAGACTTGATGGCCTGGGAGGCCCTTTCTGACTTGCTCTGTTTCTGTGTTTCTAATATAATCTCCCTACCCTGAGTTTAGATTCTGATTCAGGATGTGTGACAAGAAGGTTCTGCTCTACTGTGAGACCTTCTGCACTAATTTCTTCTTAGTCTCTAGACCTCAGACGGCACAGAAACCTCCCAGCGCTCATTTGATTTCTGGTTGTAGCGTACTCCTGGAGCCTACTGTTTGTGATGAGATACTGCCTGAAGATAATGCCAGTGACTTGACCCATGGTAATGTGTGAAGACACATTTCTTTTTAATTTAGTCTTTAACATCACAATATTTTACTGTTTTTAATGTTCTGATTTTTATTGACCTGGTTTGTACAATGTGGCAAACTAGCATGGGTAAACACCAACGGTGGGTTGTCGTGTCATCTGAACCTGGGAGTTTCTGCAGGGTGGTTTATTTTCACAATCAAGCCACCCTGCAAAGTTATGCCTTATTGTTGGGCTGCTCTTTCCCATGATGGATTGTTGTGTCATGGAAACTTGGCAGAGCAATTGTCAATTTCCAAATGGGAGGCATCTTTGATTGGAACACCAAGACCAAGGGTGATGGAGTGGACAATGTGGCAAGATGTAGGAGAGCCAGAGGTGAAAGCAGAGTCCTGAACAACTAGGAGCCAAGACATGAGTAAAGACACTGCAGGACTGGAGGGGGGCCAGGTCAGGAACATGAAGCAGCTGCCATGAAACTTGTGTTGCAGTGGACAAAGCTCTGTAGATCCCGATAGCAATTTTGCTCAGGTTGCTCTGATAATCTATAGAGCTGATTGTCAAAAGCAGCAAAATTCCTGCTGCTCCTTTTCACAATGTTGCCAGTGACTGCCCTTCTGCTAATGCTGTGAAACAGCACTTTGTAGGGACAGTTTATTCATTCCTTTCCTTTTTTTAAAAAAATGGTGCCTCAAAAACACAAAATTGTGGTTGTAATCTAAAAACCTAAGTTTTTGGTCTTTTGCATGTGCACATTTACTGCTGTCTGTTATGTGTAGTTTTGCCTGCTCAATTTTCTTGTCTGTTTCAGCTGTCAAATGGAGGACAGAGTGAAACAGCATATAGGATAATTTATGCACAGTTGTCAGGAACCACTTGCTACCCTATTAACTGAAATGAACTAGGAAAGAAGAATAAACTGCAAAAGAAGGTGCACTGAAAATTGAGGGTAGGGGGAGCAATATAATCCTCTCAATTTTAAGTGTTGAATTGAGAGTTCTCAGTGCCTTCCACCATTTCCAGATCTCCAGCTGCCTGAAAAAGGGAGGATATTAAGCCCTGCTTAATGTGCCTTCTTTTCAGTATACTTACTACTGTGGTTACTGAAGTTCCCGGACAGTTCCAAAAAAAACCTCCTATAGAAAGATATGCAGGTTTAATGTCTGGGAAGTAAATGAAGGGGAAACTTGAACTAATGTAATGGCTAGGAAGCAAATGGAGGGGAACTTTGCACACCTGCACTAGCTATTCTGAAATGGGGGGATTAATATCTCCTTCTGGAGTTACTGTAGACTCTCTGTTCAAGACTTAGGATTACATTGTCAGCAGGGGTGATGGTGTCCCCTCCCTTTCTGGTGCACCTTCTTGCTCCTCTTTTTTGCAATTGATTGGTGTTTTTCTCTTGACAACTCAGCACTTGGTCCCTCTCAGCTGTGTGCTGAAAAACTGTGGTCCCCCAAATAAATAGTAAGAAAAAACTCCAAGAGCATTTAGGGATTTATTGGAGACCTCCTCGCTAAGCCATAGATACTCCTACCACTTTGGAGGGAGAACTATATGATCTGATCCTTCCCCACTCTTCTGCTTTCACACAAGTGCTACAGAAATAATCACTCTGGTTGCTTTCCGGGGTCACAAAAGTGGAAGTGCAAAAAGGGCTCATTCCAGTGGGTAGGGCAAGGAGAGGAGAGGCCAGCGTACAAGAAATCCCGTGGCCTCTTCAGCCTCTGCCCTGTCCCCACCAGTGTGCCCCTACTAATTGGGTTCAGAGGTTCTTCCAGGGGGCGTGGGGTAGGCAGAGGAATGAAAATCGTCTCCATCCTACCATTTGCCCTGCTGGCAGCACCTTGGTGAGCCACTGTATACTCAGAAACCTCTGATGTCAAAGGCTTCCATCCCGTTGGCAGCAATCCAAAAGAACTGAGTTTGATGATGGTATGCAAATGTTAATGAATAATCAGTAAATAATGGAACATGTTATGCTATTCTTGCTTGGTTCCTATTCTCAAGTCTCTCTTTAAAAGAATGGGCAGATGCTCATGCCACACTAAAGCTTCTCGCTAAAAAATTACCATGGATTGGTTGTTTGCTGAGCAATCTGGGCTACTCCTGACAGATGATACTGCACTGTGGAGAGGGTGGACGGGAGGACCCCCAAGTTATCGTTCACCTCGAGATTTCTAAGATCCCCCTCTGTGGTCTTTGTGCATCTCTGTGGTCTTTGTGCATCTGTGGGCTCTGTGCCTGCATGCAGTCTGTTGTTGGGAAGTCTTATTAGCGTGCTTTTGCAGGAAACTCTCCCCAACCCTGGTGTCCATTATAAAAGGGAGGAGTTCCCGCCCTTTCCTTCAGTTCTTTCTTGACTACCTCCACTGCCTCAGGAAGTTCTTTTTCTCTCTCCTCCTTGTAAGCTGTTGAGCGTTTTCTTCCTTTTTCTTAAACCTTCACCAGTTTTCTCTTAAAACCCACTCTCTTCTTTGTGTACTTTCATTTCTTTTCTCAAGCGGCTAAACCACTTTTTCCTACCAGCAGCCCCCCTTTCTTCAGTGTAACTTAATTTCATTTCAGTCATAGGCCAGTAAAATACAGCATAAGTGGTAAATATTATACAACAAAATAGGTAAAAGCACAACAACATGAAAAATTAAAGTACTTAGGTACTTAAATTGCAATAAAACTAGTAAATGAAGTAAAAGAATCTAAGCATAAAATTAAATTATTACAATCCATTAATACCTAATAATCTCAATTTATGTAGATTTATAGCAGCTGCACAAAAGCTTGCCACTTCTTTAGTGACTTTTGGATTATGATCTAACAGTAAATATGCTAAATGTTGTTCATTCACACTTCCCAGAAACCCCTGTATAATGCGAAAGTGAATCCTTTAAAAGTGAATCCTGCAAGTCCTGATAAAAAGTGCAGTGTGGCAGAACATGCCCTGCAGTTTTCACTCCTCCTTTCTTACAGGGGCACACCTGTTCATGGCACTGCTTCCTTTGTCATTCCGTGATGCTATTAGGCTGCTGGGTGTAAATCCAAGCTGGTGCAATTTCTCATAAAGCTGCATTTCCCATTTTGTGTGGCATGGACCTCCTTCACCAGAGGATCCATGCCTGCATATATGAGTTGCCGAGGAGCTTGGACAGACCAAGATCCTGCACCCATCCTGTCTGAGTGATCCTGTGAGCACCCCTTTAACCACTGTGTGTACAGAGTGCTGGACTAGATGGACCTTTGGCCTGGTCTGGCATAGCTTTTCTGGTGTTTTTTTTGCTTAGCCTGTTCAGTCACTAACATCATACTGGAACCTATCCTTGTTTCTACAGACTTTAACAAAAATAAAATCAAACCTATGCTTACAGTTGACTCTGTCTGCTGTCATGGAAGGTGGCGTTCTTGGGTGCTGATTCTGTCAGCTCGCTGATCAAGCTAACTGTGTGCCCTCCATTCCCTGTCTTCTGTAGAGACAAAGTGGTGTTGTGTCCAGATTCTTCCTCCTCGAGGCTGTTTCTCCATTGCGTTTAAACCAGGACATTGTTTGACCAACCTTTACTTTCCTGTCCACCCTGCACACCCTGGATGTGTGAATCCCTTTGTTAAACATGAAACCTATTCATCTGCTACAGAGGCAAAAGCAAATCAGCCCCTTTCACCACCGGGACTTGCAGCTTGGGTGATGTGGACAATTTCATTGGTGTATGAACTGTCAAGTCTTGCTTTGACTGAAAGCCCATTTGATGCAAGAAATGGTGATGTCGACTGCTTTACATTTTGAGATCCCTCTGCTGGACCTCTGCCAAATGGCAGCCTGCTCAACCCCATTGACCTTTGCAAAGCATTTCAGACTTGATTTTCACGCCAGGGCAGACTGCTTTTGGGAGAGTGGTCCTTTCATCAGTACTCCAGTGATGACACTGCCCCATCACCCAAGAATAAACCCAAGAGAACCCTCAGGGTATAGAAATAAGATTAAATACATGAATAAGAATGGGTAAGCCTGCTAGTTACCCATATCTGTGATGCACAGAGCCACAAAGAAGAAAGGCAGGTTGCTTACCCGTTACTGTTGTTTGAGTGGTCATCTGTGCATTCACACAGCCCATCCATTGACCCCAATTGGTGTCATATACTAACTGAATTGTTCCTTGCAGGATTGTATTGCCTTTGACTAAGTTGAGGTCAATCTTACTGATCTTCCCTAAGTAGTCTCAAGGCCACCTGTGTGATCTAATGTGAACTGAAGAAAAGGGCTCTTCCCCTTTATAATGACACCAGGATGGGAGAGGGTTCCAGCAAAAATGCTCTTAGCCTATTAGTCTTCCTGGTAATATGCTCCATGCAGGTTCAGGGCCATATGTGTGAACGCACAAATGACCAAAGAACAACAGTTATAGTAACAGTTAAGCAAACTGCTTTTGTGTAATGCTAAATTGGAACTTTTTCTTTTCTTTTCTTGGCAGGTGTCAGTAGAGTTATATGTGGGAACCCTATCAAGGCTCTTCATGCAAGGAGACAAAAACTAAGTGTACATTTTCTTTTATACATATTATTGCTTTTCAGCATTTGGGCAGGTGGGTTGGGGAGGCACTTGAGCAAGTCAATGTGACATGCACTCTAAAGGTGGAAAAACTAAGAGCCCAACAGAATTCTGTAGATTTCTGCTGTCTGTACAGAAGCATTATCAGAATAAGTAAAGTTTAGGAGAACACAGCTGTACAGTCTGTTTCCAGAATTGCAAAGGTTGTGCAGAACCTTGTTTGTTGATGAGGTGATAGATGGGGACCACTGGGAACTAGCAGGCATCTCTACCTGTTTGAATCTCAGTGAAGACTAGAATCTAGACAGAAGTATACATGTAAAAGCAAAATCAAATGCTTCCTATTGTTTTCTTTGAGAAAAATTACATGGTTGCTCTCTGAAACAACTGGAAGCTAAGAAAGCTTCCCCCCTCCGCACACGCACACCAGATACAGAGGTCATTAGGGCAGGGAGCATATATCCTATCCCCCCAAAAGGCTCTTCAGTGCCTCCTTTGACTTTCTCCCATAGAGATTAATGTTTTTATCCACTTTTATGGAGAAAATACAGCCTCGTGCATAGGGAGGCTGCTGTAACAAAGGGGTCTGTCCCACCCATAGTGAGTGGCAACCTGGTCTGCAACAGGGGTTTCATGAGGAGAGCATCATGTGCTCAGAACACTCAAAAGTGTGCTAAACATGTGTGTGCGCACACACAGATCAGCAACACATAACCTACTCTGGCTCTTGCATATATGTCCTCCATATATGTATATTACCCTCTTGTTGTAATGACGAGTCTTTTGTTAGTTTATCACAATAACCTGTTCTTGGGTTTTGACCCTGTTGTACTTGAAGTGGACCCTTCCCCTCTGTACAAAGAACTTGCACACATAGACTCACTGAGAACCCATTGGAAAGCTAGCAGGAACTCTCTGCAGGGAGGCACATACAGGGGAACCCTGCTTCTGATAGAGAGATGGATGGATGGATGGATAGATAGACGTTCCTAGAGGAATGCCCAGGGATGATGGAGGCAAGCCACAGATGTGTTCGGACAGAGAAGTTGCATAGCCTTTCTTTTCTTTTAACTTTCCATAGTTCACTGATCCATCTCCCCACACACTCTCTGTGGCACAACACAATGGTCTGGGATACGGTGTGCACTGGGCATGCTGTGCAGATTTCTCTTAAGTAAGAAAATGGCTGAGAGAGAAATTAAGTTGTGCAAATCGCATACCACAATCCCTGATCCTTAAGACTGTTATTTTATTTATGTAGTACATTTCCAATCTACCCAATAACTAATGTCTGCTGGGTGGATTACAACCAATTAAAAAACTAAAATTCCATTTTAAATGAAGTTAAAGTATAAAATGCAAAACAATAAATGCAATATGGTGAAACAGTACAGGAATTAATAAAAATAGGTCTGTAAAACACCTGGAAGAAAACAAAGATCTTTGCCTGGTGCCAAACAACAACGCAAAAGTCAGATTAGTCTCTTTGCAGAGTTTATTCAACAAGTAAGGTGGCTCCACTGAAAAGGCCAAAGCTTCCTTTGGCAGGGGTGCCCTGAGAGGGCCTGTGAAGATGACCTAAGGGTCTGAGCAGGTACGTGCAGGAAGAGATGTGTGTTTAGATATTCTGGTCCCAAGCCATTTGGGACTCTAAAGTGAACATCAACAGTTTTCGGTGAATAACAGGTGCATTCTGAAATAATTCCACTACTATTGTAGTCTGCAGTAATGACCTTGTTCCAGCCACCATGTCATCCATTAGAAGATTCCTCTGACTCTGAAGACACTGTTTATACAAATGGGGAGGATATCTTTGCTGAACTTAAGGTCTTGAAAGAACAACATTACCGGTAAGGATTCAGATTTAGTCTCTAATTTAGGAGCTTTTAGTGTCAAATGAACTTGTCTAGATAAAAGAATGAGTGCCTTTATCCTCCCTATATGGAATTCTCATTCATAAAATGGCTTGCATGGTATAGTATTCTATACAATCTCTAAGGGGAGAAACAACTAGTTTATTGTCCAGTTTATGTCACTTATGTAACATTTGTGATAGAAGGAAGGGATCATACATTGTCTCCTTGATCATCGAAAAAATGCACAAATCTTAAGAGAGTAGAGACGGAAAATAAGTTTCCCCACCAAGAATACTTCTTTCTTTGAGGAACTCACTCTGAATTATCTGTGAGTAAAACAAGAGTTTAGCTTTTTACCCTTGCTCACAGGCATAAAACAAACAGTTTGGCCATCTTGTGGCAAGACTGCAGAATTGCCAGTCATGCGTAAATGCAGATGTAATCTTTTAACAGAATCGATTTTCACCTTTAAGCCAAGTCATTTCTTCTGTGGGTGGGAAAGTCGATGCTTATTTCACAGATTGAAAGAAGAAAAAAAGGTCATGTGAACAAAATCCCCAGGAGACCACACTGTTCACATTAATGCCTTCGATGATTCTCAGTGGTGACAGCGGTAAATAGCGTTGCCAGCACAAGAGCCATCACTTGCGAGCTGGATGGAATGTACAAGTGGATACTCCAGGGAGAATTGTTTCAAATACTCCATGTAACATTCATGCACCATGTGAGAAACTCTGGTATTATGCACTCACCATATGTGTGCATCAGGGTCTTGCACAGAGGGCTGTATCCTCATTGTATGGATAGATTTACGAAATGTCTCAGTTGCTTTAGAAAGCAGTCTAGAGAACTGTCAACACATTTTAAAATTTAGGACTAAAAATCAGTATCAGTGCTAAAACAATGAAAACATATAATTGGGCTAACTTCCAAAAGCAGAAGAAAGCATGTTCATCTTTACTTGCTTCTGTAATGCAGTGCAAAAGGAGGCCCAACTGAGCAGTTCACAGAAGGGAGTCACAGAACTCCTGGAGGCAGGCAGCTTCCTATTTGTGCCATTTCTTCCTAAGACAGTCTTGCAAAAGCCCAAAGTTCAACGGTGTTTATATGTACTGTAAGAGTTAGATTTGCCTTGGGACCTCACCTCTAGCTAGAATTAATGCTCATGCGGGAGTTTCGGGATTTGGGGGATTTTTATTCTTGCTTAGGTACGGTCATTATGTATCTTGATCGAAAGATACTGATATGCAATGCACTGTGTTTTGGTTTTTAAATATTTTGCAATATTTGCTAGAAATAGGGCGCAATGGAAATCTAAATGCATAAAACCCCTGGCAGGCACCTTCAAGCCCTCCAAAGGGCAAATTCCCCTCAGGTACTAACAAGAAGATATAGTTACAAGGCAGAAAGCCATAGCCTGAGCGACAACAGTGATGAAGATATGCAAGAAGCCCCTCAGGAGGACATCCTGAAAACCACATCATTAGATTCCTCCTGTCAGTTCCATCATCCTCAGTCATCTTCAGGTAAAGAACTCTTATCCCAATTATAAATGGATGGGTGTGTTGTGAAGATAGTCACAATGGCGGAAGCCCACTGTCAAACTGAATATGCAATATCTGCTAGGGAGTAGAATAGGTTGGTCATTTTCCTGCTTATCATTTTAAAAATATATCATAAGATCATCGGGCATTTAATATTTGAAAGGCAGGGTGTGCAGCTTTCAAAAAACCGTATCAGAGAAAACAATTGACAAATCTGAGTGGCTGGTGGGATCGCTGTAGGAGGAGGGTATAACCTTGCCAGAGTTCCTTGTTTTTTGTTTTTGTTTTAGGGTTCCATTAATATTTTTGTGCTGAACTGATACTGAGGGAAAGTTTCTAATCTCTAAATACATGCAAAGCACCATTTAAAGCAGTGCAAAATGGTTATCAAAGAAGTAGTTTTGATCTTCTCATGAGCTCCTTTCATGACTCCCCCCCCCTTTTTTTCCCTTTGGAAAATCTCAGTTTTCCATGTCAGAAATATGTGTGTGGCCTTAAACTCTCTTGTCAGCTATTTCCTCCCAAGGTGCACTACACACAGGAATTTTAATATCTAATAAAAATGAAGGACTTGATTTTGCCTGACTTCCTATTCAAGATACTTGAATAGAGTCACACTAGCATCAGGAACGGGACTGCAGGTGGCGCAGTGGTTTAAACTGCTGTGCTGCTGGGCTGGTAGATCAAAAGGTCTCCAGTTCAAATCTGCACAACGGGGTGCATTCCCGTTGCTCCAAGAAAGAACACTAGCATCAAAAAGTTGGTTGGCAATATTCAGTTTTCTCTGCCCATCCCCCTGGAAAGAGGTTCAAAAAGGACAGGGAGACACAGTCCAGGCTGTACTGCAAAGGGCCAGAACAAAATCAGCAAAAATCACAGCAAGGCATGCAGTAGAAGAAATTAAAACACTGTTAAAACCAACAGTTGCTAAAATACCTAATCGAATAAAAATGTCTTTACCTGGCACCAAATGCCAGCAGCAATGGCACCAGGCACACTTCCTTGGAAAGAGTGTTCCACAAATGAAGTGCAGTCCCAGAGAAGACCCTTCTCCTAGCCATTCCCCACCGCACTTCATTGGGGAATGGCTCACAGAGAACAGCCTCTGCCAAAGATCTTAGTGATACGGAAGGGATATATGGAGAAAGGTGTTCCCTCAGATATCCTGGCCCCAAGACATTTAGGGGTTTGTATATTAGGCATGTCATGAGTGGAGCTGGCTGGAGCCGGGGGTCAGACTAGATGGTCCAGTAGACCCCTTCTGACTCACTCTGTTTCTATGTTTAATGTCAACACTTTGAATTGGGCCTGGAGTACAACAGGCAGCAAGTGTAGCTGATGGAGGACTGGTTTAATATGTTCACAAGATCCAGTCCTTGTCAAAAGCCAAGCTGCTCTGTTCTGGATTAGTTGGAGTATCTGGACCGTTTTTCAAAGGCAGCCCCACATAAAGGGCATTACAGTAATTCAAGTGAGAAGTTACCAGGGCATGGATATCTCTGGCAAGGCTCCACTCATCCAAGTAGGAATGAAGCTAAAAAATCATTTGAAATTAGTTAGGCTCACTTCTGATTAAACAAGCTTAGGATTTTACTGTCTGTCCTTCAGAGATTTGTAATGCTTCACACTTAAATAAGCAGGAGTTCAAGCCTCTGTAGTTAAGAGCAAGATTTCCTAATTTAGAACCCACCACAGCAGTTCTTGGCTTACTTTCTTACACTGAGGGAGCTGCTCTGCTCCTCAACTGGTGTGTCTCTCCCCTTGCATTTCAGATTCCTCACTCATCCAAGAAAATGTTCTGCCTACAGCTGTAAAACACTGTCTCATGCCCTCCCCACCAAAATCTCCCTCGCCTGCATCTGTGCAGGGTATGGCAGCTGGAGTTGCCAGAACCAGACGGCTGAAAGTAGCCAATTCAAAAAAAGCCGTTCAGCTGAAGCCACAGTCTCCATTACCTGTGACCAGGGACGCCATGCAACACATGGTTGAGAAGACTGCTGCTCTGAGTCTCCACAGAAGATCAGATCCCCTGTCTAACGCGTCGTCCTTGAGACAGAGGCACAGGACTTGTAGCACTGACAGCAAGCAGTCCCGGAGACCCATTTCAGGGCCAGCAGCATTTGGACCAACAAACAACAGGTCTGGCTACTTAGGCAACTATTTCAACGGGATTGCTAAGGCAAACAGAAAAAAAACCTTGCATGTGATAGAGGCTGGTTCAAATCTGTTATTTAGGTCTGAGTCACGCATGCTTTGAGTCTACTTGTGGCAGCTTAAGCATGCCTACCTTTGGGTGGCTAAAATGTATTGATACTTTCCCGATTTGCTTACTGCCTTTTGATTTTAAATGATGTTGCCCTTCTGAAACTAGAAATTTCTAAGAAACGTTTAGGCAACTTGTACCTAAGATTAGCTGCATTTTTGTAGCATGCCCAGTATGCATTTCTCTTTTGTATATTCATTATTGATTATACTCCCATCTATCCTTTCGGACAAAAATGGTCTCCCATAAGCATGGGGCTGGGGACAAGCACCGTACACAAATGAAAGTGAGACCCAGGCCCTGTCCCAAAGCTTACAAACGAAAAAGAGAGGATGCACAGGGGAATAAGGAGCTTCAGGGGGAAAGATCAGAAGAGGGAGGATCAAACTGGCGGTGCCAGGAGGAAGTGGTGTGTTGCAAATAGGCATACACATCCAGTTGAACCCAGGCTGGGCTTCCCTTTTGGGTGTTTTTGCTTAGCTAGAGGTGGGGCTGCTGGATACCGTAAGTTCTCCAGCCAACAGCAGAGGACTTCGAGTCACTCCTGCAGTCCCTCAGCAACTGGCAGGTGGAAAGAGTTTTTTCTGGCAGGGATGTGCATTTCTTTCCACCCTTCCTGTAGTGCTTTTTTTGGGAACCTTTCAGTGGCCGCCTCCTCTAAAGCAGGTGTGAGTATAACTAATTTTGCTCCAGCAAACATGCTTGTTGAATTGTATTGGAAAAAAATTGTATTTCTCATCTCTAAAGTTTTAGAGAGCAGTCATCTCATGCTCGGCTGTGGTTGGTCAAATTTTTCATTTGAAGCAGGACAGCGTTCCAGAATGTGTTTTCAGTGCCATCTGTCAGGACTGTCTAGAGGTCACATGAGACACTGAGCTGTCTCCAAATAAACTCTCTGTGTCACTCTTTCCTTTTCCTGCCTATGACATGCTTCATGTATCTGTGATGTGACATAGTAACATTGTGCATTTTCGCATCCCTGCTCCACACGCACTCTATCTTCAGCAGCACCTAATGCTGTAATGCAAGCAGAGAAATATGTCTGCCGCAGTTGATGGCAGAATGGTGGTGCTTGGCATGGGAAGAGAGTTTTGGAAATAGACCTGTATCTGCTGTACAGAGTGGTATAAACCTCAGCCTCGCCTACATGAAGTGGCATTAAGTATGTGTGCGTGCATGTAGAGATTGCATTTGCCTCTCCAAAAAGTCATCACAAATCCATCTGCACAGAACTGGCCTTAGCATGACTTTCAGGAAGACTTTGCCCATGGTATTGGGCATCTTAGATAATTCTAGCCTAATTATCCTAGATAATAGCCATTGTGCTTCCTTCTCTTTTCCATCCCTTAGACCTCTATTCCCACCCACTGATAACTCTCTGGTCTAACTGCTCTCCATTCAAATCTATTCTTCCTCACCACTATATTCCATACACTACAGCTGAACAGCTTACATTCCCCATATGAAGGCCAAGACAAATAGAAATGCTCTTCCTCTTTGTGGCATCCAGTGCAGGGGCTCCTTGGGAAAATGGAGAAATGCCAGTTTGGTCTCTCGAAAATACTTGTGCCAACTCACTGTACTGTGGTGTTTCTTTTCTTCAGAGCCATCATGGACAGAACCCTCCCCAAGATGATCAACACCCATCAACCTGTTGTTCGTCCGTGCACAAAAACACCAGAAAGATTTGCAGTGTTGAATGTGGTCCGCCCTCTGACCGCCAGGGCTGCCCTGCAGAGCTTGCCAAACAGGCCGGATATCTCAATGACAGCTCAAAGCAAGACTCCCAGACTGTAGGAAATGCCCCGAGCAGCTGTGCATACGTTGCTGCCAAGTCACAGAAGCCCTCGGCTGCTTTCTGTGCGTCTCAGCTTTCTATGAACAGCACAGACTGGTTTCTCTGATTCATCCGGAGCACAAAATATAAGCAGGCTTCTAGGCAAGCAGAGCAGTTTAGAGAAACAATTTACCTCAAGCAAGACAGCACCTGGAAAAAGAGACTCTGCAACTCCCCATATCAACTATTTTAGCAGCCTCTGTAAGGAAAGAGAAATAGAGCTTGTGCCACTTCTCTCCTTCATGTGACTGCACACATTATGGTTAAGCAGCCCCATGAATCAGGGCACTTGACTCAACTGGTGGGAAGCTGGTGTAGGCGATCGGTCCACATTCCCTCCAGCATCCAGCTGCAGCTACTCATGTGCCAGCCCACTATCAGAGGGATGCATTCCTACAAGTGAGGAGCCCAGCAGACTGGGAAACCTGTGTAGCTGCAACTGTCTTAGGACAGGACTGAGTCTACTTTCCTTTCTCTTTGGAGAGGAGTTTCACTTGCAGAACATTCCTTGATTTAAGTGTTAACCTCAGTTCCTCATTGATGTGAAACTAGTCCCTCTTGCTTGGATTCATCCATTTCAACAGGGAGTTACTGAATGGCTCAGAGAGAGTTCTTTGGGGAGCTTTTTGTGCTGGGAAACAACTCGTGGCTCTCATCCAGAACTGCTGTTATACAGATGTACCTAAGTGGGTGGGTTGAGTTTTCTCCAAGCCAGATGACTGTACTAAATACCTCTGCATTAGTGGAAGGTTCCCCTAAATCTCTCATCTACCTCATCTCTTCATGCCTTTTTAAAAATAATGCACTTGTAATGAAATGTTATGTAACTTTTTTCTAGATCAGTTTCAGATAAAAGCTTTGTAAAAAAATATATCAAAGCGAACAGTTGGGTGGGGAGGCTTTTTAGTAACATTATTTGACTATGATGTGAAGTGCTCTGATTGCAACTGTGAAATGCTGTAATCTGGGTGGCTTCACATAACTAGCCCTTGTCAAGGCAAGCAATCTCACTGGATCCCAGGTATGTAGGCAGATGGATAACATCATGCTGTGAACCAACAATTCGCTTATGGGGCCAGCTGCAATATTTTCCAATTATAGCAACTAGGGGAAAAACCCTACCATAATCATGGGAATTGGTGTTAGCTATATATGTAATGGCCAAGTATGTCTTGTATTTTTATCTGCACAGATCCCAGGGACAGTTGGGACTGCTTGTGAGTATAACAAATACTTTGTGCAGACTGAGTTTCAGGTAGGTGATTGTGCAGAACTGCTGGGGATATTTTGAAACCAAACAGTGTAATTAGCAAAAACTTAGATATTTTCTGTTTAGAATACATGGGGTATGCAGTAACCCAAGGTATAGGCCACTTCTTCCTAGTTGGCTTTTCAAAAAACGAATACTAGAGATTTTCCCAGGAGCAGGCCTTTTCAAAAACATGCTAGAGGATTCTGCATAGAACCAAAAATGGCACCACCAAGATTCAGTCAAAATCTTCAAATGCATTCCAAAACATTGGCGGCACCGGCAGCGCCTCACCCCAAAAATGAAGCTTTGGGGAACTCCTACCAAGAAGTGTGCCTTCTCGTCTCTCCTTGCGATAGGAAAGAGGGGTGCTATTAATATCCACAGCAAATGGAATGCCATGTCTACATAGGAACCGGAGCAGACTTCATAGAATGGTTGCTCACAGGCAGTGTGGAAGACTAGCCTCATGAACAGATGTACCATTTAAACCAGTTTCCTCCTTTAATTTATTCTTCTACTTTCCAGCCATGATTAATATTCTGTCTCTCTCTATATAAATGGTGGTAGGGGGAGCAGATAAAGAAGTCTGACACTTGATATTGCATGTACTACCTTGGGGTAAAACTAGATGCAACAGAAAGTATTTTGTAGATGGGATCCAGATTTAGTCATGCTTAGAGTAGATCCACTGGAATCAATGGGAACTGACCTAGTCATTATTCCAGCAGTACTACTCACTACTCATTACATTGACTCTGGAGCTAGGTCTTTACATTTAAACATAACACCACCCTGTTTAAAGACATGTTTAGTTTAATTATTGCCCAGTCCCCATTTGCCTACCAAAGCAACGACTCTTTTGAGCCCAACACCACTGTGAACAGTTCAGAGCCAGTGTTCTCTGCCCACTAACACCTTTTTCCTCACTTTTTGTGTGGTACGTCCACCTTTCAAGATAAATAGGCACCTCAGAATGGGAGCTGCAACTCATAAAAGTAAGGGGACCAGTCAGACAAGTACTGTGGTTGCATTGTGTATTTCAAGAAGTCACACAAACTCCCTTTGCTGCTGTTCACCAGCATGTCATCTGGCAGGGCAGTAGCGCCTTAAATGCAGATCAGTGGTGGTAGGAAGGTGAGTCATGTACTTGAAGCCATACTTTGAGCGAGCGCTCTTTTGCCCTATCAGCGACACCAAGGGAAGCGTAGTATCCAACGTAGTCCTGAACTCCTGAAGAAAAGGTCAAAAAAGGTATCAACATTAAAAGCAGATATGTGATTGGCCCATTGGATTTAATAAAGTGGAATTACAGAGTTGAGAGTAGGCCTCCGGCAGAGGTTGGAAGCAAATGTATCCAATCTAGTTAGCCAAGTACACATTAAGAAACTAAATGCCATTTATTTAACCTGTGAAAAAGGTATTTTCTTACAGTGATAGTAAAATCCTAACTGTGCAGGCAGAGAAACACCAAAGCCAAGGCATTCTTCCACTAAAGCTTAACAATGACAATTTTGTCTTTAGTGTACCACGTGCCACCTAGCTGTGGAACGTTGACAAGAACTGACTGAATCACCCTAAGCTGATGATGGTGAATTTGTTTCCAATTATTCAAATAGGATGGGATAGAAATAGGTCTTGACCATATGATAAAACAATAGCCAGTCAAAGAGGCCTAACAGCCATAGCGGAAAACCCACACATGAGAGGCATTTGGAGAGAGACAACAGGACCTGGTTCACACATAACACATAACCTATTGTTATTTAAACCATGATTTGCTACCCTAGCTAGGGTTTGCCTGACAAATGATTGAATAAACCATGCTTTGTTTTCTCAATCCCTGGGTTGTTTTTCCTCTCTGCCTGTTCCCTCTCTGGAGGCCAACTGGTTTTGCAGCACTGCAGTACTGACATGTAAAAAAGTTGGAGATTTTTACTACTCTTACCTGCTGTCTCTACAGCCTGGTGAAACAACCCATGATTGAGTTCATACACAATGACAACCCATGGTTTAAAAAGCACACAGATCGCAACCAAAGAACTCATGTTGTTATCATGGGTTCCCTTTGTAGGTTGTTTATGGTTAATAACACATAGTTAATTTGTCATTCTGTATGCACATATAACCACAAGCTGCAGTTCAACCTGCAATTTGTCAAGGTGTGTCTCTGTATGCCAGTTGCTGGGGAAGTGACCCTCTCATGACCTACTTGTGAGTTTCCCACAGATCGCTCGTTGGCTACTATGGGAACAGAATGCTGGCCTAGATAGACCTTTGGTTTGATTCTGCATGGGTTTTCTCATGTTTTCCTGTTAAATCCCTTTTTCAAGGCTCCTGAAAAAGATGTATTACATGGCAGCACTCTCAGAGTCAGTTTTGATATGACTTGCAGGCTTGCATAAATGACAGAATGCAATAGCAGGAAGCCTTCTCTTAAATTAATAAAAAATAAAGGAAATTACCCAGAGCCTGCAAATGCGCAAGATTGGTGAGCTCGTTTATCTGTTGGAGATGGTTGCCACAGCAAGTCGTTTCAGCCAGCAAACACTGACTTAACTGAGTGACTTGAATTAGCAAATGTGTAGGAAGATTGGAAATTATAGTAGGTACAACTAGCTTTAACTTACTTAATGACAGAAAGGTCCATTACTCTTGCATAATGTGGACATGTGTCTGTGTGTGCTTGTGTTTTCTGCCCTCCAGTGTAAAACACCTCTGTGGTCGTATTTGCATGAGTAGCATTAGCTGTGGTGCACCCCACAGTTAAAATCTGGCACCACCACCCAGGGAGAAAGGAAGAGGGTATTCCTCTTCCATAACCAATTCTGCTCTTGTTACTCACAGCAGAGTCCCTTGATCTAGTCAAACGCTACCATCAAATAATGCTACTAAGCATTCCCTCTGCTCCTGCTTGTAAGAGACCATGATGCAGGGATGCTTTTCAAACTGTTTTGGAGTTAATGGGATTTGCTGCACATGATCAAATGCTTATTTAAGTAGATACACAGATATTTATCTAAGAGCAAATAGGAGAAAAGGGAAAGAGAGTGCCACAGTTAGAGCTCAGAACTGAAAGGAAGGCTTTTCAGATGGGACTTGCTTATCAGTGTTGTTCCAGTGAGACAGTGTTGTCATTTAGGGATTTTGGTCATGTACCTTTGCTTCTTTCTCCCTTTCTAATAAAGGGGCTTCCCTTTATTATCAGCTTGATTATTCTAGAACACTGTGAAGATGAAGTTTGGAATTGGAACAGAAGCCATCGAAGTCTGGTTTCTTCAATTAGAGAGGCAGATGCTAAGAGGAATTTAGCACTTCATGATGATAATCATGAGATTGCATCTCCAGATCTCGTCATTTCCCCAAGGGACCACAAATTCAGAGAAGAGAAGGGAAACAGAGCGTGAGAGCGCAACCAACACAGCATGCCCAAGTTTGAAGAGGCTGCTAGTATCCTCTGTGTATGTGTGTGTTTTACTAAATGACTTTACTTACTCGAGTTTCTGGTTCCTCATATTGGGGTTCCAATGACTGCAAACTAAAATATTCTTCATCACTGCTTGAAGAAGGGCTTGCCTTCACTGCCAGGAACAATAAATGCAGAGTTCATGAGCTCATCCAAAGTACAGAAGGGGTCTAAAACTCTCCCATACTTAAATAGAATAAAAAGCTATTCAATACCTTCCTGTAGCTCCAAGGAGCAATGATGTGGTACAATATATTTTGGAAACACTCAGTGCAAAATTGGATCTTCCATTTATCCTTGCTTCAAAACACAAACACTCACCATCACTGGACTTCATTGGCCATGATCCTGCTGTCTACAGAAAGGCTATGCAACTGAAGTGGAAGGGACCTGTGTGCTCACTGAGGCCATGCAGGAAGGGTGAGCTGACACTGACTGTCCCTCCCGAGTAAGTGGGGAGCAACTGGTGAATCCAAAACTTTCTCAGGAAGTGAGAAAGAACAGAATGGGGCCATCACCTACCTTCTAAATAAAGCAGTAATCAAGGTAAAAAGTTGATCACCAGCAAAGCCTGGTACCCTCCGCAAGTTTTTAACTGCAATTCCTGTCAATCCTGGCTGGCATAACCAACAATCAGGGAATGCAGACTTTGCAACCTACAACTGAAAGGGCGTTCATTACCTAAATGTCTCTGCCCTTCAGCCCTGAGATAATTGAGGCAATTTGATTGCTTAGTGAATGTGGGTACAGCTGAACACACGTCTACAGTAAGAAAAGTGGTGGCTGTATTTTTGTCAGGATGCTGAGAATTTTGCTTTAGAAATGCTTATTCCCCCTGACACGTCCCTCTGCCCCACACAAGCTCCTCTTCTTTTCCCAGGGATGAGCCTGGAGTTTTATTTATTTGGTAAGTTGTAGCCACATAAGCACCAGGATAAGTCTAATGGGTGCAAGGCAGATGCCACATAAGGAAAAACACACTCAGCTACTTCAGAAGCGAGCAGTATAGCACTGGGAATTCACAGCTCCTGGGAAAAGAGTTTCTGATAGGAAAGGTTCAGTGCAGCCATGATGCTCATGTTGTTCAGCCCAAAGAACACACTACCTATGAAGAAGGAAGGAAGGAAGGAAGGAAGGAAGGAAGGAAGGAAGGAAGGAAGGAAGGATCTGAGCATTGCAAGGTGCCCTTTTAAAAAGTTACATGAAGAAACTATTAGAGGAAGGAAATAAGTTCCCTTCTGTCTATTGGCCCACACTGGTTTTGAGGACTGATCAGAAGCGTTGCTGCTTTACTGCAACAGAGCTATTACCCTGGTGTGGATCAGGGTTGCCTTAGGGAGTTATGTGCTGTATGTCCTGCGCAAATGGAGCAAATGGGGACCTGAAACCATTTTAAAAGAAAAACAGTCTTAAATAACAGTTAAAAGAATGGAGTGGGGACAGAATGCCCCATTTTCCCTACTCAAGATGCTTCCTCCCCCAGCCTTTCTCTCAGCAACAGTAAAAATGCACTTTGACCATCTTCTGATAGTGGGAGCTGCTGGGAAGGTGCTTTAGAACAATTATGATAGGGAAGAATTAAGCACATCTCTTTTCCCCCTGATTTTCTGCTCAAAGAATCCCTGGTTCTTTTCTGAGAAATGGTTCAGGGCTCAGATGCGTATCTTGGAATATAATAAATAGTCGCTTATTGATCACCCCTGGAAAGCTCCTCTTTGCTCAAGTGTCACCTGCAGGAGACCTTCCGGAAGACCCTACCTAAGGAAATGAGAAGGGAAGCAAGGCCGCGCTGCTAGCCTTACCGAAGGGCTACTTGTTTTATTCCCATTCCCTTCCTTTCTTTCCCCTTCCCATCCCCATGAAAGCCACTTTGGGAGCGCTTTGAGCTGAGGAGTGGGATGAAAATGCTTCCCGTAAAGTAAATCCACCATGACTAGACATGAATGCTTCACTTTAAATGATTCTGTTCACCATGCATACATTTCTGGCTGTTGTTAATGTCATTCATAAGTATGTTCTAAGTCCTGAAAGAGCTTTAAAAACTATATAACTTTGCAACAGTTAATACGTGTACTGACTTGCATACCCAAAACTGGAGACAGACTTTTTATGGAAATCAAAGATAAGTCAGAAGAAGCACTTGAACCTCTGGTTCGTTTCTTGGCTCCTGTGGAACAGTCATTTGGCATTTTGCTGCTTGCTCCAGAATCAGTGGAAAAGTGTCTTGTGTACCTGAACAGAAAAGCCACATTGACTCCGTAGGAAGGCCATCCTCATCCTGCAGAAACATGCAACCAAGCATCACCTCCCTATGACTAGCACATAACACCTCCAGATCACTCTGAAAACTTTGCAGAGCTGCTGCTGCTCTTTCACACTGATCTCCATTCAGCGCTGAAAGCAATGTGCCCAGGATTTAACAGATTAAGAAACGCAACAGTAATGTTAGCATTTATACCACTCATTTCATACATTCAAAGCAGTTTGTGTGCATTAGCTCAGCAATCTTTACCACAAAGTGGCACAACAGGGCGATATTATTATGCCATGTTGCAGAGGAAATGCCAGGGGAGACAAGGGTGAGAGACTCATAGTCAGCCCAAGGCCACATAATGAATCTGTAACGGAGTCGAGATCTGTGTTGAAGATTTCCCAGTTCGCAGCTCATGGGCTTATGCACACTGCTTCACCGAATCTTGCTGCTAGAGCAGGTATCTATGTAGCACATGGTCGCATTTCTGCTAGTTGGCAAAGCACGCAATGTTTGGTTCCTCATGCTTTAAAAGCAGTGGTGAAAAACATGTTCCTCCAGCTGTGGTTGGACCTGAACTCCCATTAGCCCTCGTCAGTACAGCCAGCACCGAAGGATGATGGGAGCTGCAGCTGCACAGCTTCGCGAGGCTGTATGATCTCCATCCTTTTCTAGAAGGGCCACAGGGACTTAGGGCACCTGGCCTGTTGGCCACTACTCTCTGTGTCACTGTCACCCATTAATTCCTCTCTGGGCACCAACATTTCAGAACTGCTCTATTTATTTATTATATTTCTATCCTGCCTTTTCCTTGTCAAGGAACTCAAGGCAGATTATATAATCCTCCTCCTCCTCCTCTCCATTTTGTTTTATGACAAGAAGCCTGTGAGGTGGGTTAGGCCGAGAGCCAGGGACTGGCCCAAAGTCACCCAAGGAACTTCATGGCTGAGCAGAGACTAAAACCCAGAGCTCCCCGATTCTCTGTCCAGCACTCTCACCACACCAACCCAGTGGCTCTCCTTTAAGTTTAGGGTGTGTCTTCAGGCACACCCCTGCAGCCTGCACCCCTGGCTCTTGCACAGACCAGTTAAAACAGGTGTACCACATGCACCGTCCAGAGGCCTTCACTGTGGCCTCCAATGAGCGTCATCAGCACCCTTCCCAAACATACCCTGCCAGGTTCCGCCTCTGCCAGAAGCCTTTGTGTAGTAAGAAACGAGTGATTTGCATCATGACTGATGCGATGTGTGTGTATGTGAACATGCACATGTGCACACACACAGCACTCTTAAGCAGCTCTCACAGCCAAAAAGTTCATGTACTGAAAATATTTTTCTGCTGTCCTCGACTGGGATTGGAGGTTATATACTACAGCAACAGCCAGGAAAATCTAAGCTCCCAGTTATTACTCCGTTTCCCTAAGATGACTCTGCACTGCCATCGGTGTTCATGGAAAGGCAATGACTGCTTTCCCCGAAGACCTCTGTGGCCGCAGAATGAGCTTTGTCACCATTACATGGTTGCAGCAATAGGGCCCAGGGTCCCCAAAGCCACTGCTGGCATCCGAATGGACTCAGAGAACCACAATGGTTGGACATCATGAGCATCCACTTGAAGCTAGAACCAGCAGGGTGTGGGCAACATTTAGCTTTGGGAAGAGAAGATAAAGGAGAGACATGATAGCATTCCTCAGACGTCCATAAAGTTGTCATCATACTGAAAAGGGAACAGACTTGTTCTCTATTGCTCTAGAAGGAAGGACTAGAGTCAATAGGTTGATTCTGATAAGCACTAGAGTTATCCTCACACAGGAGGAAGAGGGAGAGGCAATCACTGGGTTCCAGAGCAGCATGACGGTTAATGCACAGGCTGCAGTATAATCTGCCAAGATCAGCTTCCTGTTGCCTTCCTCCAACAGAGAATCTCCACAGAACCCCAGTGCCTTAAGGGCATGAATGGAAGGATCCCTTCTGGATGGAGCCAAGGACTGGAAACTGCAGGTAAGCAGGTAAACTTCCTAATGGGAAGAGCATCTCAAAAGTGGAACAGGCTGCCTTAGGAGGCAATGCGTCCTCCTTCACCATCGGTCTTTAGCAGAGGTTGGACAGATGCCCTTCCAAGTTCTGTATTACATGAAACTTTACTGCAGTCCTATTTTGATCAGCTCACTTCTGGATGGCACACGCACCTTCTCTTCATCAGGATGGCACAATCCCTCTCTTTCTTATGACTGTGTGAGGACAAAGCTTTCCTTACGGGAAGCTTAGGCTGACCAGTTCTCTCATTATCTTCAGCAGCATCAGCATCAGTGTCATCGTCGCTGTTGAGTGGAAACTTGTCCACTGAAAGATCCACGTTATCATCATAGGCTATTGCGGCTGTTGTTACCTGGTGAGGGTTTCTATATTGTGACACAATCTTGGATGATGCAGACAAAGGGAAAACAAAGTTATTCACCAACCCTCTATTTTTTATCTTATGTTTGCATGCCATTTTTCTGCCAATGCTCTCAGTCAAAATACAATCTACTATATCAAAGCAGAGAGAGAGAGAGAGAGAGAGAGAGAGAGAGAGAGAGAGAGAGAGAGAGAGAGAGAGAGAGAGAGAGAGGGGCCAGCTGCAGCGACATCTGTAGCATAGGGAAACATAACCCAGTATGCCCACTCCCTCCAGCAGTGCTAGAAAAGCACCTGTTAAAAGTTCACTTTGTGATTTAGCTCTCCTGCCACATTCTGCACTATAGTTCCATTTAATCATTGCAATAATTTGTTCTTAACATGCAGACTAATCATTGCAGTCTTAAAATATATTTTAGGGCCAGGAAAGCCATGCTGTGGGAGATCCAGGGCATCCTTTTTCTAGGCGAAAGCAGCACGCCATCATTTTCCCTCCCACTGCCCCATCTACATTGCTCATTTAATCTCCCTCCCATGCAATTTCTTCAGGGGTGGGAGAACATACAGTAGGACTCCCCATATTTATAGCCTGCCTTTCTCTCCTGACGGAACTCAAGATCATACATATCAGGTTCCCCAGCAGTGTCTTGAAGGGCTTTCATGGGGCAGCCTTCTGTTTGGAGAGCTATCTAGTTCAAGTCTGGTAGGAAGTGAAGGAACCAGCAGAAATGAGACCCGGGTTGTGAAAGTTACCCTTCCATATCACCTCTACCACAGGCTGAGCAAGGCACACAGGTCATCTGGTAACAGTCGTCCATACTATGGTGACATTCACTGTATTTCCAATTTAATTATGAGAATTAGGTCTAAATCTGCACCTACAAAAACATGCAAATTGGTGGCCTCTTTTGTCTATTTTTGGTGATGCCCAAGTAGCCATGCTAGGCCCTGACCAGACCCAGGTCTGCTTAGCTGTAGCACCTATGACACATCATATGCCATCAAACCAAGTACTGCAAGTGTCTTTCTCGCAACTCCATGGCCCTCAATTAGGTCCCCAACTGGACATGACAGAGGGGCCTTTCCACTGAGAACCCTGGCAGTTGCCTGGTCACCAAAAGCCAGTGCAGCATGGTAGGTAGAAAGGTGGACTTGGAAAACTGAGGCCCAGATGCCTGAATATTTAACTCTCAACATCTCTTGATCAGTCGCAAGACTCATATTTTCTCTCTCTCTTATTAAAATTCTGTATTGATGTTTATTCTGATAAAGTCTCACCTTGGAATGAAAAACTCTAGAATACACTTCACCCAATTCTTAAAAAAACAAAAACAAAGGAAAAGTACAGAGCAGCCCTTTGGCCTTACCTTCCGAACAAGTCAATAAAGCAATTCACCTGGCCATTGTGATCACGGAGAATAGTGATGCATTCTGGGCCTGCTCTGAAGAAACATGGACTGGACAACTTGTCGGTGGGATGCTCGTGAGCAAGGCTAGCCCCTGCAGCCCAGACCTACAAAACATCGTGTCAATGAATAAGCCACACTACACCTGTGCATCTTGGCTATTCGCTTTTATTCGTCCACAGCCTTCCATCTGCGGTGGTACAAACTCTGCCCCATTGATCCTTGCTTTAGCTTGTGAATATAAACTCTGTAAGGAGAAAGGCTGCCTGGGAAGGCAATCTGGAGAAGGGGAATGATAGTCTGGGAAAGGCTGAATAAATACCCCTTCCCTAACACATTTCTTCAATGTCCCTAAGAAACTTTTCAAGTTTGAAATGAGCATCAGGCCACAGTGACACATCTTTACATTAAAGATATAGTTTGTGCCTTAATATCTTAGAATACTGTATTAATATTATATTCTTTTATTAGGAAACTTTGCAAAGTAGGGTTTAGATGGAGAGAAGTCTGCATTGTTTCCTGTCTGCCAGACCTCAAGGCAGCCAGGGGAGTCCTGGGGGTAACAATTAGACAGAGGAATAAAAAATAAAACCAGAAAATAAAGAAGCTAAATCAGTAATTCAATCTAAAGGAATTTAGACTGAATTAAATTTACAATTTCAAACTTCTCAAGATGCTTGGACAAACAGAAACATTTTAATTTGGCACTGAAAATATTGGCTAGATCCAGTAAGTGAATCCTATGGGCTTTTCTAAATGAAGCTTTTATTGTGTTGGCACTTCCTCTAAACAGCACTGAGACCAAACTCTTCTCCAAGAGTGCTTCGTTTCCAGTTTTCTGCTACACTGTCTCTAGATGGAGCTGTGCTATCCTGGAAATACAGGGGAAATAGAACACCATCTTTCCTGTTGTAAAACAGGCTTTGAAAACACAGGAAAGTTGGGGATCATGCCATTGTCTAAAAAGCCCACAAACAGCTGTGACTAAGGAGTCATGAGCTCAAGGTAAATGCTCTGTATAGAAAGCCTCTACCCTAGTTTTGGTTGAACTGCATAGAAAGGGCTCTGCGAGTCCTGGCCCTCTCAGATTTCTCCCACTTTAATATATGAGCACTCTTTTTTATACTACCTGTCAGCAGAGTGCACACTCCAACAAGGATTAGGAAATGGAGAGGTCCCTGCTGCTTACAGTGATGTGGTGCTGCGCAGGCAGAACGGTGCCACTGGGGAAGTGGTAGATAGACACGGGATACCCTCCGACCCACTGCTGAATGATGTAGCTGCTCAGGTCCACCTCCTTGTTCAACAATGCATTGAAGATTCGGATAAAGAAGCCTGCACGATGCACACTGACAATCCTTAGAGAGCCTGTGCCACTGTGACACCTGGAAGAAACAGAGAAGGTGCGAGGAATAGAAAGATTAGTTATTATTAGTTTAGAAAACATTTGACCTTTTTAACAGGCATGGGACTGAATAAGAATTGTAATTCTCAAAGGGTAAGGAAACTCCTCAGAAGCAGTACCAGCGTTTGCTGAAGTGTAAACCTCCTGAAAGGATCAAAGCAGAAAGCAGGAAGAAATATGAGGGGAAAGGCATCACAGAAGTGAAAAGGTACAGTATAGAAAATAATCCCTTTTCTGGATTACCCAATCTTGCTAAAAGGAATCAGGTGATGGTTTAGTAATCACATTTGAAGGACGAATCTTTGTGAAGAGAGCAAGAGACAAGTCTGCACATGCAACAAGCTGACACTATTAACTTATGTACAGTGCTGGAGGAAAGCTTTGTGAATACCCTAAGCCAACAGAAAGATGAGCAAGTAGGTCCTGGGTCAAATTAAGCCAAAACATGCTCTGGAAGCAAAAATGATAAAACTGGAACTGTCATACTTTGGGCACATCATGAGCAAGCAAGACTCATTGAAGAAGACAAGAAGGATAGGGAAAGCCAGAGGCAGGAGAAGAAGAGGGAGGCCAGTGATGGGATGGATCCATTCCATAAAGGAAGCCATAGCCTTGAGTTTGCAGGGCTGTAGAAGGCTGGACATTTTGGAGGGCGTTCATTCATAGGATTGCCACACACTGGAGAAGACTTAACAGCATGTGACAACAAAAATTGTGAGACGATTTGTACAGTGTGGGAGGCAGGGCTGGTGCCAGTAAACCCTTGCATTTAGTGCCAAGTGGAAGTCTGAAAAGAAATTGCAACAGCTTAGGTAGCGGTGAATTTGTTGGAGGGAAAAATGGTAGAACCAGAAATGACACACATAAGTGTGGGTGTGACCATGTGAGAGCCTTCATATATGTTTGAAGCATAGTTTCGTTGGTTAGACAAATGATTTTCTCTGATATTTTACTGTACTTCTGGTTTTACTTATCCAAATTGGTCTTCTGCAATGTCTTAGTAAATAGATCTGTGGATGAAGAACAGAGAAACATAGCAAGACATCGCTGAAGAGGCAAACTAATCACAGCTAAGTGTTCCCAGAAGATTTGATAAACATTTAATTTAACAAACAAAAATATGCCAGTTGGAGAGTTAAGAGTCAAGGAAGGAAGGAAGGCGCATGGGGAAGGTACATAAGGTAACTGAAGTACATGGATTTAGTAGTGCATATGAAAGAGATACGATGTGCTGGTCATCTTAGATGAGGCAATTCTATTCCTTAAATAAAAGCATCTGTATCATAAATATAAGGATTTTTTCTGCAAAATGATGACTGTACATTTGTGTGCTTTGGTTGACATGACATGATGGCGTTATCATGGGTGAATTAACCCAGAATTAGCTGCAGTGAATGTGGGCTACGTGCGGCTGCCATTTCAAATACGCAACCTCTGACTGGGGCAATCGGGAGTTCCATTGCGCAATCTAAACCTGGCCATCATGTGTTAATTGAGAGTTAAACAACCCACAGTAAGAGCTGATGAGCTAGCATGTGTGTGCGCATATGCGTTTATTTGTGATGTCATGGGTTCAGCTGATGTTTGCACAGCGATGAAACAATACAGTCTGGCGGACCTGTTGGTCTGAGAAGTTGTGGACTTAATCTGCTGACAGCTCAGCAACAGGTAGTGCTTGCTTGACTACCGCATGGCTGACTAGCAGATGTTCTAAAGCACAGAGCTATCGATGTAGCATTCTTTCTAGCTTTGCTCCTCAGAGTCCTTACAATCTAATGTCATCTGGGCAGCTCTTGGCCCTCCACACAGTGGGGGAGTTGGCTCAGTGAGCTGGTCTGAATATTTATTTATTTTTAAAAAATCGTAGGCCATCCATTATTATCGTCTTTCAATGGCTTACAACATTATTTCAATCTTCAATAAAATAAGTTAACTATTCCACACTGAGCATTATTTAAATATTTGCAATATCCCACTGTATCCCTGGGTGCCTCCTCAGTATCAACCACTGGGCAGGCAAGTGGGGGCTTTGAATGCTCCCTCAGGAAAAGAGTACGTGAGGAGGTGCGAGAGGTAATCCCAACACAAAAAAAAAAAAAAAGAGGAAAAATGTGGACCCAAAAAGCAGCTAAATGTGGAATAAAGGGCTGAAAAGGTGAGGACTGGCTGCTTGTGCATTGCCCCAAACTGAACTTGTAAATAAAAGGAAAAAACCTAGTAGTTTACCAAGCAATAAAAGTGTCTGTGCTCCCTGCCTGACAAAGCCTGTAGCCTCTGCTCAGGGGCAACTACTACTGTTTCGTGGGAAGAGGAGTTGCTCCCAAACCCTCAGCCTTTAGCTGGATAGATGCAGCCCACCAGCTCTTACTGGCACTGCAGGGAATGCCCCCATGGCATATGGACCGTCTAGAGAGAAGGAATAACGCTCACTTTTACATGGGAGACAGCAATTTATATATGGATGGATGTGCTATGTTTCCATACCACCCAACAGCCAAAGTGCTCTGGGCAGTTCACAAATCAAAGCATGAAAGCATTAACATAGTAAAGCCTAATGCAAAAACTGTACATTTAAAACAGAATAAAACCCAAGCGACTGCCAGGGTACATGCCAGCATGACTGCAAAGCTCTACAAGTGCACCAAGGTGACCTATAACACTGGAGGCCTAAAAATGGGAGAAAGCCAGCTGCAGTCCCCTCTTCACTCCGATGAACCTGGAATAGAGAGAGTTCACTGTCCCCCTGAGTTGCAGAGAAACGAGAGAACTGCTCTGCCCAGAGGTGAGCTCTTCGAGTTCTTCCAGACCTCCACTCTGTGGCACTCACCACTTGCATTTTTCGATGAAGGAGGAGGGCACATCGGGGGTGTATCCTTGTCCACTGGATGGTGGTCCCAGTGGTAAATCAGACTGAGCAAGCCTCCAAGGACCCAGGGGAAGAGCCATGCAGATGCCTGTGGAAAGTGGAAATGTAACATCCTCATGTGGCACATGAAGGCTTTTGTGAGGAGAAATATTGTGGCTGAAGACTAAGCAGGACACAGAGGGAGCACTGCCATCATTTAAAGCATAGTATCAAAGCAAGTTTAAAACAGAATAAAACCAGGTGGGAGCCAAGATAAAAGTCAGCAATAATGCAAAACATCTAAACATGTTCTAATGCAGTTCTTAAAGTGAAGGGCTATCGTGCTGGGGAAAATTAAAAGGTTCACCTGTCACTGAAAATAACACACTGTAGGTGCCAGGTGAGCCTTTTGCAGGTTTTTCCACAAGTAGGGTGCCACCACTGAAAAGGCTCTTAATAGTACCCCACCTCACGGAAAAGAATCACTGAGCATGATCCTCAGGTCTGGGCAAGTAAATATGGAAGGAGATGATCCCTCTGGTAACCAAGACTAGAACTATTTAGGGTTTTGTAGGTTTATATGAGCACTTTGAATTGGAAGGTAGTTTTGAGGTAATGAAATTACTGAGGACTAGGGCACCATGGGGGCTATGAAGGGGCAGCAAATTTCACATCTTGATTTGAACTAATCAGCCAAGTCTATAGTTTTACTTTTAATTTCAGAAAGGAAGATTGTACATAGCTTGACCTGAGCTAACTCTGTGCCTTGGGTAGTCTCTGAGATGGCCTATGGGTTTCATTTTCTTGGCTTTGTATACAAGAACACTGATTAACATCTTCTAGGGGTAAATTCGTATTAGCTTTTTACAAGGAAATCTCACCACTTAGTAAAATAAACCGTTATTCTTTTGTTGTTACTTGTTTGTAAGATTGTGCCATCTTACAGTGCAAGCAACTGCAGTTTTTCCTGTACTACACTGAAATCAGGGACATAAAAGTTAAAAGGTACAACTCTATGCATGTCTCCTCAGGTGTTAAGTCCCGGTCCTAATGGGACACACGGCCATCTAAGTGGGCGAATAAGGGCAATTTACACAGGGGGTCACAGCAACTGGGGACAGAAGGTTTGGGTTTTCCTGCACCAACAGTAACTTCCCCCAAAATGTTGCATTCACAGCAATTAGGTTTTTGTAAAGCCCCTATGGGCACCAATAAAAGATTTTTAAAAGCTCAACTAGACAGTAAGGGAGGATTTTTGAGCGGGGTGACTCAGCATTTGGAAAGGGAAGAGTTAGCTTTTTCCTCCGCAGCAGTGAACTCCTTCCCAAAAAGCCCCAGTGTGGCAATTAGGCTTTTAAAAAGCCTTCACTGGCACCAATGGAGGCTTTTAAAAATTTTAATAGTGACTGATCCAAAGATGAGATTTTCCTTCCCTGGGAGAGGGGCAGTACCTGGAGAAGAAACTGCCAGGTCATGGGCTACCTATGGGCTGCAAATTACTCAGACTCAAAAGAAGGACGTGAAATGTGCAGAAATATTTAATTGGAATTTCCTCATTCGTTTTTCTTCTGTCGCTGATAGTGAGAATACTACTAGTCTTTTGACAGCCGGAGAGAATAGGAAATGCTATTCATTAATATCTAGCAATCTGAGAGTATGGGCAGATTGGGGCAACACGAGAACCCTTGTTGCAGCACAAACCAGTCAGTGTGAGTCAACTATGCAGTCCAGTTCCTTACTTCCCTCTCAGTTCTCCCATGGGTATCCCATAGGATACAATGAAAGCAGCAAATCTCCCCCTACCCTGTCCCTGAAGCTGCAGACACCTGGGCTCACCAGTGCCTACCCAGAAGCTAGAAATTCACTCTCCACCTGGTTTCTCTGAGGTGCATTTTCAATAGAAACCCAAGGCATGATGGATCTTTCCTTAGTAAGGGAGTATTTTGGAGGAGTTACATTCCCATCGCAGCAGCAGCTGGAGGGGTGGCCCTCTTTCATCTCTCAGGTGGGTAATGTTTCCCATTTCTCTCATGTGCCAGTGAGCTTGGGGAAAGGAGAAACATCTCTCGTGAACCTTCTTGGAAGTGATAGCTAGCTCACAGGTCCCTGAAACATGGACGGCTTGTGAGGAAGGTTAGTTTGATTATGTCTGATTATGTATCAGTCAAAATCCCTGTGATCCTCTAGGGGGGGAAATTACTTTCTGACGGCCCCCAATGTTTGGCAGGTCTTCCTACACGTAGATCACTGAGGCTGGCTTCAGTGATCGAAAGAGGGAGAATTAAAGGGGCAGAAAAGCTGCAGCACGCCCAGCCAGGCTCACAGAAATGAGGAAGCCCTTGCCAGCCACCCCACCGAATGTTGCTTTGGCACTTGGGGGGGGGGGGCAGCTGGTAGTGACAAGCTACTCAGTAACTGCCCAGCAAGAGTGGCAAGCAGCTGTGTAGCAGCGTGTGCTCACCCATGATGGGCAGGTTCCGATGACACAAGAATCCGCCGTGCACGGAGCAATGCTGGCAACAAGCCATGGTTTATCAGGGCACTAATAAGCTAAACTTAAATATTCCATCGTGGGTTCAAATGACATGAGAGTTCACCACGTGCTACGAGCCATGGTGGGTTGTGAAAACCCTGTCTGTAACTTCTCTGGAATTTTCCTCATGTGCTAGATCTAGGTGAGCACCTCCAGTTTTGTCACATAATATATCTGATTTATGTCATTTGCATGCCTTGCTTGGACTGGGATGCAAGATGCCAGCCTGTTCCTCTACCCAATGTCTCACACCCTTTGCTGCTTAATTTTTGTTATGTGTAAACCAAATCAATGTCTTGTCCCCCTGAGCCATTTCGGTACTGTTAGTCCATCACGGGGCATGCCCAAATGGCTCTTTTATAAGGGGATGAGTGATTCCTTTCAGCACCCACACACGGGGATTGCCTCAAGCCGTCACGATCTCCTGCATGGCCAGAGAGCTGAAGTGAACTCTCACAGGCTGTGCGTAATCTGTACTACTGTGCTCTCACAGTATGGAGGTGCTCCAATATATGTGTGTGCATACATGTGCACACATCCCATGTGTGGCACTTGGATCCACCAGCGAGTGCCAGACCATATTTAAAGAGGGAAAATTAGACCTTACACTTTGCTTGTTGGATTTTATCCTGGGATGATGGAAGGCTTGAAGAAGATTCTGTTGTCTTGGTCTCCGTTACAGATGAAGAGAGATCTGATTGCAGAGGGGTGAGGGCACCCACGGAAGACTGCACACAAGGCAAAAGGCTCTCATTTCTTGAGCTGTAATAGGTGAGGAAAAAATATTATTTGGGCTCATCCAGATTTTTTAAAAATTCAGACATTCTTCTTAGTACTCTATCTATACTAACCACAATTCAGAGGAAGAGTGTGTTCTGCCCATAACAAAGGAAGGATCTATCTACACTGTGACTATTGCTGGTTTAAGTCTCACAATGTTCTAGCACTCACCCCCTATTCTTTTAAGAAATTAAGATGGCACAGGCAAGGGATGGGGTGGGTGTTGCTCATCACGAGTGATACCAGCGATACCAGAGGCATTGTATAGCTAAACTGCATGACTTTTTATACAATCACGTGACTGTCCATACTGGCAAACATGCTTCTCTTGCAAGTTTTCCAGGTGCAAGCCACCTCCCAAGTGGCCAAGTGGCGTGAGTGCCAATGGCTCAGCATCCCTTGCAGTGACCAAGACTTTCGTGTTTACCAAGGCTTCCCCACATACGTTTGCCCTTTTTTCTTTTTTTCAGAGATCACTCATTGTCATCTTCACTTTCACAGTCAGCAATAGCCCCTTCAAAACGCCTGAGTGGCACACTGGAGGTGCCATTGCTAATTTGCCACCATTTTTTGTTTTTTTAAAACTGTGCCCCAAATGTGTACAATCTTTGACAGTCAGACATGTACATGCAGGTCTGAAGCATTGTGTCGCACTTGAAAGATCTATTCTGAATGGGCTCCAAATGGCCTGCAGCTCCATGTGGAACCACACGTGGTACCGCATCTAATGACCTCTAATCCTGCCAACTAAGAACCATGGAGAACCCTGTCAAAAATCCCTTTTAAAAAGTATCAGAACCTTTGATTTACTTCTTTTCCACAAAGCCACATTGGGAGATACTGCACTATTCATTTTTCTTCCCTTTATTTATTTTTTTCAAATGATTTATTTATGGATTTATATGCTGCTGTGCATCTAAAAAAGACTCCTGGACAGTGAACAGTAAAAGAAGGAGAAAATATTCAAAATACAGAATTAAAATATTTTAAACCAAATTATGCCAATAAAAGAATGGCTGGCGAGTCAGGGAAGCCTTACTTAAATAAAAATGAATTCTGCCTGTGCCAAAGGCAAAAGAGTCTTGTTGCTTGATATCAACAGGCAGGGAATGCCAGAGAGAGAAAGCCAAAACAGTGAAAGATCTATTCTAGATGGCTTCCAAATGGCCTGCAGGTCACCCCATCTAATTATCTTATTGCCCAGGTAGATTGGCAAAAGAGAAACTCCTCTCTCAGATAATGTGGTCCCAGGTTGTTTAGGGTTATATACAGTAATAGCAAAACTATAAACTTGGGCAGGTAGCAAATAGTCAGCTACTGCAATACCCTCATTGAAGGAGGTACATCTGGAAAATGACCAGCTCCTAACAGCAGTCAAGTTGCTGCATCCTGCATGGCCGCTGCTTCCAGACCAGCCTAAAGCCCAGCATTTGCACACTGCAGTAATCTGGTACTGAGATTACAAGCACTGAGATTACTGTTAGGCAAGAAACTGGCAAACTCTAGATGCCAATATAGTATGTCTCACAAGGCTTCTTGATAAACGATTTGTAATAAATGCTACTATATTCCGATATAGACCAACAACATCACCTAGACAGCAACTCAGCATCTCTTTCGAGAAGCAGCTGCCTGGGTTTTGTCCCCATTACACATTCCAAAGTTAATCTCTTTTTCACAGTTGGAACTGGCTGGGTATTTTGTAATAAAAGTTTAGAATAATTATGAAAGAAGAATCAACCTCTAAATACATTTATGACTGGTTAACTAAACCATGTACATAAGAGATACATGACTTCTCTTGCCATTGGTCTGAACAACTATATTTTCTCCTTGGAACCAACAGTGATGCTCTCCAAAGATGCTCCCATGCTTTCTCCAATCATCTTTCCTGCAGAGCACTCTACACATGCTCTGAAATCTTAGACTCTATGCAATGTAGGACTGAAGGAGAGATAGCAGGTAGTGCATAATCTCATCATTGCAGCGGTCCGAGCGAAGAGGCCAACAAACATCTTTTATTTATTTTGGAAGGTAGTTTCTATTGGGAAGGACAATCCTATGCCTGCCTATGCTATAGGAGCTGGGCTACTGGGATTCTTTTGGTAGAGCAGCTTTTTTCCTGTGGCAGCACTTAAAAGGTTTTAATAGCTGAGGCGGTGCTGCCTAGTGATGAGGCCAAACTGAGAACTTTATTAAAAACTGTGGCAGGGAGTCTATAGCACGTGCAGTTCCGTTGGTGTGTAACTGCAGGGGTGGCCAAACTGAGGCTCAGGAGCTGCATGCGGCTTTTCGAGTTTATTTTGGGGCTCGCCACTCGCTACTGTGGGCGTCCACAGGTGCTTGCTTGCTGGTCTCCACCCGCGGTCACTGCCCACGGGCACCCACTTGCGGCTCTCAAACATCTGACATTTACTGGATGTGGCTGTTCCACTGAACAAGTCTGGCCACCCCTGGATAACTAGTTCCAATTTTGCTGAAAGGGCTCTTTCTCTGCTTCAGCCCACCTCCAACCCCCATCCACAATACTAGGATAATATGACCGGCATACTTTAACTGAGCTATTTTAAGATACCAGAGCTAATGTGCGAGAATCACTTTAGACACAATGGCTTGTAACCAATTGTTGCCCCTCCACCGAGTGAAGGCTTTTGATTTAGCAGAGGGGGAATCACCTTCCTCTCCGTTCTGCTGACAGAAGCTTTGGCTGGATCAAAGAGCTTTCCACTAGTGGATGGACACCAATTACCTACAACTTGAAATAAATGGTTTTCCTTTGCCTTGACTGAGGAAATCATGGGGCTTTAAAAAGGGTTGGACTAAGTGTATCACCACAGTGATCCATTTCTGAACATGACAAACATAAAACTGCAGCCTCCTTACTGACAGCTGCCTCTATTTCAGGCATGCTCATTTTGTTTAGTGCTTATTCCAAAGAGCTGAAGAAACTGCAATAACTGTGAAAGTGGAATATCTTTTTCTAAATTATTTCTCAGAGGCAGCACCAGTGCAGGTTTCCAAGTGGGAAGGTAGGTGGCAGGACAGAAAGGAACATGTCCTTTGGGACTGGGCCTTTGTGGGCCTGGCTTTCTCAAGTCGTAGTCTTCTACAAATGCTGGATGTACCTGGAATACTGAGCATGAAGGAAGCTGCAGTGCAACACACCTGGAAGGCACCTGTTTGGGGGAGATGTTCTAGGATGAGCTGAGTGCATTATCTGTTGTATTTAAGTATGTTCTTGGGTGCCTTCTGTGCCATCTCATTTCAGAGTGGTTGGTTCATTTCCCCCACGCCCCTTTTGGACACCTTCTGTCAGAAGACTTACGATTTGCATTTACCTTCCCTGTGAACTTCCCTCTATGGGATGATGAAGCTGTGCTTTTCCAGCTACAGATTCCAACTGAGTGATTATTTCATCTTTCTCTTGCTGTGTGACACTCCCAAACTAAAACAGAGAAAGGTGGTAAAGCTGTTAAACACCACATGCAAAGGATAACAATTGGTCTGAAAGGCAGTAACTGTGGACCCGCAGTACAATGTGCATAGAACTTCTCAGTAAGACCCACAGTCCTTTGAAATTACCGTCACTTTATGTGTCTGCCTGCTTGAGTTCCTCTTCAGGAAACTGCCTATTTATTTTGGAAAAATAATGTTTTGAAGTATGTGGGCATGTGTATGTTTCAATCTGTGTTTGTGCACATTGGCAAGCAAATACAATATCACACACATGCACGCATACACACACACAAACCGGCTTTCACTGATCCAGACACTATTCATGTAAGTACTGAAAGACAGTCCCAACCTGAGAGAATACACAGAATGAAAAAGATAAATGACAGAAAAGAACATAGAGTAATAAAGCCAGTAAGACAAGCATGTTCAGATTCTAAGGCTGAGTTATGACATGTTTACATTCTGTCATGTTGAGCTGATAAACTGCATGTAGTTTAAAGGGAAATCTCCATAACAGATTATAAGGAATATAATAATTTAAATGCATGGAAAGACAATCACTAATTTAGGGGCAATCCTATGCAAATTTAGAATACAAAGGGGTGTGCATCTGCAGTCATGCCCCAGCATGGCTGGTTGAAGCATGCTGGAAACTGTATTATTCTTACTACATTGCATCATTATCCTGCCATTTTTCCTCTTGCAAGGAACTCAGGGTGGCATACATAATCCGTCCCCACTCCATTTATCCTAGCAACAACCCCGTGAGGTAGATCAGGCTGAGAGTGAGCTTCACTGGCTCTCATGTAGACCTTTCTCTTGCCTACTCATGCCCAGGGTTGTGCCTGTAAGAAAGCTTATTCTGGATCCAGCATCTGACCAATGTTGACTGGTGAAAAGGCAATCTCCCAGTCCCACCAACAACCAGAGCAACCAATCAGTATCAGGGAGAGAAAATTGTGGCAGCCTTCCTCCAAGTGGTGTCCTCCAGATGTTTCAGACTCCAGCTCTCATCAACCCAACTCATGGGCTGCACTGGTTGTGGGAGAGGGGAACTGCAGTCCAACAGCAGCTGGAGTTGGGGAAGGCTCCTTTAGGGTGCTGAGCATGACTTAAAAGTGGACTAGCAGCAAGAGGACAGCCTCAGCCCCAGAAGCATTCCTGCAGGATACTACAAGTTCTGTAGGTAGACCGGGGACAATGCTGCAGAAAGGCAGGGGCAGAAACTTGGGGAGAGTAGCTTTTGGCTCCGGTGTTGTACACCACAAACTCAAGCAGATATTCACCCATTCAGTAAATTCTCCCACTCTTAGACACCCCAGTCACCATGTGCAAGCCTATACCTACGCCCAGAAATAGGAAGGGTTGCCTTCATTTTGCTCTTGTCCTTTGGGAATTGACATCCTGACATCTAGAAGAATGTTACCCAGTGGGCCTTCCAGGGAGCTTGGGTGCACCGTGTCTTTCATCCATCCACTCCAGGACCACAGGGCACATGGACTCAGCATAACTAAACCTTTGTAAAGTGGTTTTATATTACGCAGTCAGAACAAGCCCTACCTGATTCAGGGCCTGTGCACCTGAGGGGTTGCACATTTGACTTCTTTCCTGAGCTACCTAAATTTGAGACAGGGCTCATGAAAACTCAGTTTCAGAACCCACTTTGAATGTGAGGGAACTAGGCAAGGCACATGTGAAGTTACAGAGAAGTGTGTATTTCAGGCATCCCCACTGAGTGACCAGATAGCCCCGTAATATTTAGGAATGAATTAAGGAGCAGATTTTCCAGATAAGACACCTGGTACCTGGGTACCCCAGCTGCAGCAGAAGTGGCAACATTTTTTTTTTCTTTTTTGAAATTAAGGACTCTCTAAATGGCAGATCTTCTTATTTTTTTTTTAATATATTATCCTACCTTTTTCCTGCAAAGAACCCAAGGTGGCTCCTCTCCACTTTATTCTCACAACAACCCTGTGAGGTAGGTTAGGCTGAGAGTCAGTGACCTTCTTAAAGTTACCCTCTGAGCAGCATGGCTGAATGAGAATTAGAACCCAGAATTCTCAAGCACCAGTCCAATGATCACTAAAATAATTTTCGTCTCCATCCTGCCCATTTGAACTGAAAAGTATCAGGATACAAAGTGTGAATACAGGTAAAATGCAAACAATTGAACCTATTGCATTGTTTAATTTCACTTTAAGAGACTTCTGCTTCCAAGCTGTCTTCTTTGCAACACAATCTGTATGAGCTTTTCCACACAAGATTATTAATCTGCTCTATTTAGTTTGAGTTTTGTCTCAGAATTGAGTGCTCTGAGCACTCCACAAAAAGCATTTCCTTTCCTTTTCCCTGCCACATAACCACTAGGTGGCACTGTGGTATAGTGGACTAGTGCAATTAGATCTGTGGAAAAAGCAATTTTTCACTTTTAACAAATACTGAGTTTTCCCTGCTCTAAGAAATCCTCACCAAAAGTGCTCTTTAAAAACAGAGGTGAAACTGGAAGGTCATAACTTCATAGAAAGAACTCATGAAGTGGGGAATGATAAGCCCATAGCAATTGCATCATGCAAAACTTTATGTGCCTACTCAAAAGTCAGACTCACTGAATTCCATGAGACTTACTCCCAGGAAAGTAGGCTTAAGTGAAGTAGATTATAGCAATTCTGTAAAAGACGACAACATATCTCTATTGGGCTTTGCAGGTTCAGGCAATTAGTGCTCACACTTTTCCGTATTCTGCTACAACCTCTGTCTTCATGACACTAACCTTATGAAAGGCATCAACAAAACTGGTGTGCTTTGGTATTCTCCGAAGCCTTAGATCACTTTTGGTGGATGTTATTCTACTTCCCGTCTCTGACCACATCTATACAGGAAAGGGAAAAAAGCACACAGAATTAGAATTAGAGATCTATTTTGTTAGTATTTTGGGGTTACATATACAATCTGGACTTTCCCCCAAGCTGCTCAGAACATATAATATCACATTGCTTGCTACAGCATCAGAAAAAGTATATATTTCTGCACTGGGAAAAATGCAGGAAAGAGCATCCAGAATGGTCAAAGGATTGGAGTGTCTGCCCTACAAGGAATGTTTGGAACTAAAATGGGCAACACATAGCAGGACATGATCTATAAAATTCTGCATAATGTAAAGTGGATAGAACAAACTTTTTCTGATTCTCTGATAGTATAGAATTTAGATTAATTATGTGAAAGTGAAAAGGAAGTTTAGCTTCATGCAGTCTGTGAGAATTTTCTGGAAGTTAATGCCACAATATAGTCTGACAGGTGCTAATTTATTGCTTAGAATTTGTCTTTCAGAACAAGAATCCTCCAAAAGGAGATTAACTACCTTTAAAAAGGCATTAGACACATTCTTGGGGAGTAGATCCATCAATGGGTATGAGTTATGAAGGCAATTGCAGCATGCCTCTTAATATCAATTGTTGGAGAGCAAGAACAAGAGAATTTTACTGCTTTCAAGCTATGATTGTTAGTTTCCCAGAAGCATCTTGCTGTTGTCCAGCATGGGACATAGGATACTAGATTAGATTGGCCTATAGTCTGATTTAGAAGGGAACGTCTTCTGTTCTTCAGAGCTGGAGGCTGGGTAGCACAATCCAAAGGGCTCTATTTTCCATTTTAAGATTCCCCACCTGCTATTTATGACTAGTGTTGAGTGCAATGGAGTCTGTTGCAATTAAATATCTCACCTGCATAACAAGCCTAGAATGCTTCCAGGAATGAATTCAAAGTCCAATTTTTTTAAACAAGTGGAATTGATTATATCTACTAGTTCTTAGAACCGTCCATTTCCAGATCTCATCTCCAAGCAATTCCATTTGGCTGAAAAGGAGATGAAGGAGCAGCATCTTCTTCCATTGACAAGTAAAAGACCATTTTTGGTCCAATGAAACTAAGGATAGGAAACCAAAGGCCCTGAGAATGCCATAGATTTGTATAAGGCACTCATGGGGAAACACTGACCTGCAGGCCAATTTGGCCCTGTCAGGCCAGCCCATCCAGCCAACAGGGCATGTGGTGACCCCTCCCCCCCCCCACAAGCCCCATGCTCAGGAGAGGAAACTCCACTGTTGCCTTCAATTGTCACTGGGGACAGCTGTGGGGATTCCCCTGGATGCTGCTTCCTCTCTTACCTGGGAGGGGATGGGCGTGCTAAGTGCTTTGAACACCCTGTATCCTTCCCCAGTTGGGGAAGCTGGACTGAGGCGTCACCGCAGTCAGGGACTGGGTGAGGTCAGGGTGTATGCAGTACAGGTTATTCATTTATTGACTGAATCTTACTTAACTTAAGGGAATTATATGAAATAATTATGACCCACTTGTGCTAATGCATACTAGCATTCATTCACTAATCGCATTAGTGCTACTGTGCATTAGCATATGTGCAAATTAGCACTTATCCAACCCCCCCCCCCAAAAAAAAAGTTCATCTGCTGAAGAATGCAGAGGCTGGGGCAGACTTCTGTGACAACCATAGAGTGGCCCCACCAGGTCTGTGAAGGCATCTGCAGGGGGCACCACTTGGATACAATTTGGCACTCCTGGCGCAAAGACATTGTGACCACTGCCAGTTTTGTTTTTTATTCTTTTCTTAATAGCCCTAAAACAGAATCTGTCCTTTTCATACCTGACAAGCCTTGAGGTCAACCAGTCCTGCTGGTGGAGATGTTTGGGCATTACAACTGATACCAGTTAGTTGATTCTTGTTGAGTAGTTCTTTAAATTTAAAAATGATGAGAACCCCAGCAGGGCACAACATGTCTGTGTTATGGTACTGGTGGAGATACACGGAGCAACGCTGCAGTGAAAGGTGGTGAGTGGCAGAAAGATTAATGATGCTATCTAGACACTCCAGTTTAGGAACTCAGCCAGAGAAAAGGGATATACTTGGATGTAGCAATCAGCCATAAAATGTCAGGCATTCTAACCATCACACAGCAAAAATGGAGTATCTTCTGTAGGATTCAAGATCTAATTTGTGCTGACAGTTTTGTGGCTGAAGTTATTTCACATGTTTGTCTTTTTTTTAAACTATCTGACTTTGAGTCTTTGCAGTGAAGCAGATTCTACATCAAATCAAATATAAATAAAAGAGTGTGTAGAATGTGTGTGTCTATGTGACCGTGCTAAATATTCTGGGACTTCGAGGCGTTCGCTTCCCAGAAAAAGAGAAGAGAAGAGGGCATGAATCAAGCATTTGGCAAGTGGAGTGTGCCCCCTAGCGGCCAGATACCGCAATCAGACTTAGTTCGATTTTATACGTAATCAGTTTCTGATGTACACTGCAAGAAGGAGAGTGAAAGGGTAGGAAGTTGCAGCAATGTTATTAGCCATTCAGAAACAGACTGAGAAAGGGGGAGAAAAAACACCATGGAACATCGTCCAGAACTACCAATAAATAAGGGAGAGGAGGAGGGCGCTTGCAGGCTGCTCCTGCTTTCCATTTGGCTGTTGGGCCACAGTGCATCTCTTCTGAGTCAGTGTAAGGAGAAAAGAGGAAAGAAAGACCAATAAAAAGAGGAAGAACAGGAGAAAAGAGGAAAGAAAGACCAATAAAAATCACAACATCATAATAAAAAATTGAAAAGACTGTATTTGATGTGCAGGGGATAAACTGGGAAATTATTTCTAGATGGTTTGAAAAATCAACCATGTGTTAAGCATGCCCAGGGATTTAAAAGCTTATATTGGTCAGTTGTGTATTTGATTAGCACACAGTGCCTTGCAGAAATATTCACACTCCACCGGGTTTGCCGAATTTTGTCACATTCCAACCTGGCATGGAAATGGATTTAACTGGCATTTTGACACTTGAGGTACACAAGATACTTAATTCTGTGAAGGTGCAAAATAATTTGACTGTGGCACAGAACCTGAGGACAAATCTGCCCCTCCAGGGAGTAAATTTGGCTTTCTGGGGTTCTCCAGATGACTGTGTCCCTTTGCTGGTATTTTGAGCCTACCTCTTTCGCCTCCAGCTTAACCAAATGTGGCCCTCCAAATGGAATTTGGTGCCCAGGCTGAAAGAGGTTGTGCACATCCATAGCTTCCCTGAGAGCTGGAGCCTTGTGTGATCAGAACGCCCCCCCCCCCACCTTTGCACATCCCTGAAATTTGCTCCAGAGGATTTGCAGCAGAACTGGGGGGACGGGGAACATGAAGGAGGAGAATAAGAGGATGAATGAAACCCCAGCATTTCTTAATTATTGGAAATATCAAGGATAGGGTACTGTTTGTTCATTTGAATTTTTGTGATACCTATTAGGTTAAGATATTTAGGGTGAAAGTCTATGAAATTTTATGCAGAAAAAGGCCCGGAGTGTCTGAGAGTTGAGCACCTTATTTCTCTTTAAACTTGCAAAGTATTCTGTCTGTATGAACTGGTTAGATCCTGTTAATAATTAGCTTGAACATAAACTATTTTTGCATGCTGTAAGCCTCAACAACAACTTTAAGCAGATTCAACAGATTTAAAGGGGGCGGAAGCATCCATGACTTTCCAAATGGCTTCATCAAACCTCCAAGTTCAGATGCAGCTTCACACCTGATGTGCTTAACCACCTGCTCGGAATCATCCTGCTGGCATCCATGGGACCTTTTTTGTTTTCTGCTCCTTCTAATCAGCATTCTCAGCATGTTTGCCAACCCTCCCTGTTTTCCTCCCTATCTCTGGAGCTGTTATTTATGCGAGTACTAACATAAGTTCTGGACTTTCCTCTGCAAAGTTTAAAACTCATTTCTCTTATTACATGGGCTTTCAGAGGCTTCCATCTAGCCACATTTGACCCACTACTATAATTAAGCTTAGTGAGAAGAATGGTGATGGGATGAATTTTTGTAATTGTCTGAAATGACAGCTAGTTTGATCACTGTCATTTTAAGCTACTCTGGAGATGCTGGGGAGCTCTTTGCCCATGAGCCTGCAGGGTCACTGGGTACGTGACTTGGAAAAGGTGTTTTGCTTTGCTTTCCCACACCCTGTTCCCTCCTTTCTCCCACTTCTGCATTTGACAGTTTGGCTGCTTGGCATACTCCTCTCCAGTTCTCTGAAACCATGTCAAGATAATCAAGCAATTGCTTCTGACGGGCAATGTTCTTCCTTGATTCAATCAAACACCTTTCCTAACCTTTTCTGTTAAGCTGCCACTGTAGAGCTGCTCCGGCACTCCTTCAGTCTCCAAGTGATCGACATCTCCAAGGGACAAAAAATCAGTCTGGACTTAGAGCTTTTCTCACAGGCTTTGTATGCCTCAGCACTGCCTAGGCAGGCATGGACAGCAAGGAGTAACAGATAAGCCAAGGGGCATACTCAATCGCTAAGAAGAGAAAGAAGGGGGGGAAATGAGCTTCCCTCCAATTTCTATGTCTTGCTTGACAAGAGCACGCAAGCTTGTTCATTGAAGAGGCTGCACCTTAAGTTGCACAGTGGTCCTTTCAAAATGGGTGGATCTATGTGGCGTTGGCACTTATAAAAACTTTTTTAAAGTTCAAGCTTCCTGTGATACTGGTCAACCCAAGTGTTACACCGTACAGAGTAATGTGAGTTTCCCCATATGCCCATCTACATCTTTCAATATGCTTCCTTAGGGGTGTTTTATTCATTAGGCAGGTGAGAAAGTTGAGAACTAGACTATATCATTTCAGAATGCCACTTTTTTGGAGGGGGCTGTCTTATTTTTATATGCTCAGTCAAACACAACTCCCTTCCTACGTATGGAAGGTAAAGGGAGAATGTTTATTACACCTCTCTCCCTATTTTACTATAAGCAGGGAGCTTTTAAGTGTGAGAACTTTACAGAACATGACCCCCTCACACACCTGTATTATGAAGTGGTACAGTTGAGAACTCCAGTCCAGCTATTTTTTTAATCTATGCATCTTGGCAGTCTCGAAACAACTGCCCTAGTTCAGAGTTCACCTGTGCTACAGCTTAAGCTGGTTTAAGAATCCATGGCTTGGTTTGCAGAATGCACTAAATTCCCGCATCTTCAAAGCCATGGTGGTTCAGTGTGTTGCCCAAACCCAGTGCACCCCTCTCCAGGGTGTTGTGGGGTTTCATACCTTCCTTTGGGCTTGTCAAGTTGTCTAAACCCAGATGACACAACAAGCCCCGGGGAAGCTTGAAAGCCTACATTGGTGAGGGCTGGAAGAGTCACAAACTGCTGGGTCTCCACTGGAAGAGGTTCCGCTTAACACGTCCATGGGAGGCAACACTTCTGAGCAGGCAACGTGCTGAAAGACAAGGGGATGAACTGCCCACTTGGGGCTTGAGGAGGAAGTGCCACCAGTATCCATCATGTGTTCTGTCTCAAAGCCCCTGCTCAGGGCTGATCATGTTGGCGCATTCTGCCAGATCCCCACAGAGCAGACCCAGCACATCATGCCTTCATTGCTTGCCGTGATGGCCACTGAGCAGATGCCAAGCAATGGTGGGGGATAAACCATGTTTGCATGGGACTCTGCAGCAGGAGGTCCAAGAGAATGACACACAGATCCCAGTTGGTTAGGATTTCCCTGTCTGCCGTTTTGAGTTGGTGGTGGTGGCAGGGAAGAGGCTGTCCCATTAGCTACTGTAGCTGCCAGCACTTTTGGCTGGGCAAGATGGTGGGCAGCACCCCAACTTATCCATGAGCAGACAGAGGCAATGGATATGTCCCCATTCCCTCCCCACTCTTGTACCACTATCAGGCAGCAGCGAGGAAGGGGGAAGCCCTGGTGTCCCTGCAGTGTTCCCTAGGATACCTGCGGAACAGCCAAGCAGGGAGAGAGGGAGGGAGGCGCCTCAGCATCCGCTGTGCCTGATCCTCTGTGGGGCACGTTGCAGGCAAACAAGTCACGCTACGTGATGTGGTGCAGAGTAAAAACTCCTCTACTACCTTTCTTTTTTCTAATATTTGACAGCATGCATATGCTTGCTTTCATGATTTTTTAAAAAAGTAGTGTCTGTCCCAGCCAACGCCAGCAACTGATAAACAAAGCAGGAGCACATATGGTGATCATTTGCTTATTGTTATATATATTATATTATGATAATTTCATTCACTGGAATCATTATTTGCAATACAATATATTTGGCATATGCATTTTTGCTCCTACCTCAAAGCATTCACGTGCTAATTTTGACCCTTCATCCAGTGATGTGCTGGAGTCAGAATCTATCTTTCCCTCTGGTTTTGCTGACAGGGTTTTCACAGTCTTCTGCAATTGCAGGATGTGTAATTTTGATTTCAGGAGTTTATCTTCTAGCTGTTGCATTTCCTTTTTGGAAGGAAAAGTAGGGGAGAATATGTTGAAGAAATTATTATTGAACAGTCAAAGCCCAAATTTTCCATTTAGCAGAACTATAGAACGTGTAGGACAGTTACCCAAACCGACATTTTCCAGAAGGAAGTCTGAAGAACTGAGTCAAATAGAGGTGACAAAACTTACTGATAAATTCAAATTTTAATTTACCCAAATTACTGCATCTAGTCAGTAACCACCTCAGAGTTCTTTCAAAATTCAAACATGAAATTGCTAGTCTTCTAAGGAAAAACATGCACCTTTTCCCCAAACTGTCTGTGAGGAATCCAAGAACAGACTAATAAGCTTAATATTTGTCACAAGTAATTTGATGGAAAGCATAAATAAGGATAAAATGAAGAAGAAGAATCAGGATGTCTGCAAAGTATGAAAGAAGTCCTCACTGGCTTTCTGGTGTTCTTTGAAAGAGTCTGCAAACATGTGGATAGGGTCAGTTTGGTTCACACTGTATGCACAGTTTGCCAGAAAGCCTTTAAAGTCCTTCACCAAAGGCTCCTGAGTAAATTTAGAGTCTACCAGTTTATGGGCTAGTCCTTTTTATGGACCACTAACTGCTTAAAGAACAGGAAATAGAGTAGGAATAAAGGGCCAGTCCTTGCAACCAAGACATGTAAGGAGTTGGGTGTGCCACAAACCTGTTCTGGGATGAGTCCTTTTTGACTAGTTCATAAGTAATCTGTAGGGAGAGGCGAGCACTGGGATGACTGTAGATGACAGTACACTGCTCAAGATTATGAAATCCAATTAGAAAAAGTCCATAAAGTTCCCTCCAAAATGAACGAATGGGCAATAAAATGGCAAAATAAGGTTTAAGGTAAGTAAATACAAAGTGGTAGACATTGGAGCAGAGAATCCTAACTTCATACATACATTAATGGTCTGAACTACCAGTGACCAGGAATAAGATCTTAGGGATGCAGTGGATAGGGAGAAATAAAATGATGGATTAATTCCATGCTACAGTTTACTTGAAAAGAATCTAAAAGTAAAACTGCCAGTGATATAATTCCATGCAACAAATCTATGATGCTGCCTTACTTAAAATGCTGCTTACAGTTCTTCAAAAATGATATTGTAAAGCTGAAAAATCTGCAGAAAAGGGCAACAAAAATAAGGACACCTGCACTTGGAAAGACAACCTGAAGTTTAGTTTTAGTTTAGAAAAAAGTGACTTGATGCCACTTGATAGGACATGATAGAAAAGCCTTCCTCAAGCCGGTGCCTGCCAGATGTGTGTGACAGCAAATCCCATTATCCCCAGATATGTTGGCCCACAATGTCCCATCTACATCCAACACATCTGGCAGGTATCAGGTTCATAACATCAGCAATAGCCATCAGGGCCAACAAGCAAATTTAATCGGCAGGATATTTCACATAAGCAAAATAGTTTGGTACTTCTTCACACAATAAATATTTGATGCATGGAATGTGTTACTGCAAGAAGCATCACTTACTTAGATGGATTTGAAAAGGACTTGATAAAATTACAGAGAATGGATCTGTCAATCCTAATTAATATTATCTCCCAAGACCCTGAGATCTGTCATTTGAGTAGCTTTGAGGAGGCCTAATTCCCATTCCAACCTGAGGGGATTCTCCAGCATTAGACTCTGCACAAAGCCCCTCAGATACCAGGGGTGTGTATTTATGCTGAGGGAAAGACTATCATCTCCTTGGAAGACCACCAAAGCTTTATAGAGTCTCCATGGGCCAGGTCCCTGCAACCCAGCTCCTTGCTGCCCAGGAGGAGCTTGTGGTGGCATCCCCAGTCCCTGAAGCACTTGGAAGGTTAAGCACTGGATTGTGTGGGCTGTCACTCAACACTGAGTTCTTGTTGAGGCAAGGATTATCATGTTGTCTGAACACAACTGTGATAACCACCCTGAAAAATCCACAGTACACAACCCAACAATGAAGTATAAGTTCTCTTCATGGGCTGTTTCTAGTGAACAAGCCATGGCTTGTTAGTACTACTGGGTTCTGACAATGTGATAAGCCACATTTTAACAACCATCATTAGCTTAGTAACAACCCACACTCAGCCCAAACTCAACACCTTAGTATGGGTTATTGTGTAATCTGAGCAAAATCAGCAGCAACACCCTTCTGCTCTCAGCTGCTGCCCAAGGTCCTGAACTTGGTGCATTCTGACCCAGCATCCTTATGCCTCCCAGAGCCTTGATCCTATCCCAACACAAAGGTAGCTCAGGCAGTCCTGGGCTTGCCTCCCACCATCTTGTTTAGGCCATCTTGGTGATAGATATTAGAACAAGCTGTGATTTCTTATCATACCAATAAAATGGAATTACGGACCAGGGCAGCATGTCATTGAATCTTAGTGGCTGGAAAGTCATGGAGACAGCTGCTGTCTCCACAACCCTGCATGAGGGCTTCCTGAAGGGATCTAGCTGGCTAATGTGGGACACAAAATGCTGGACTAGATGGACTTGCAGTCTGATCCACCAGGGCTTCTGCTAATTTCTACAAAATTCAACCTGGTGTTTAAGCTCTGGTTTCCAGAATCATAAATGATGAAGAGCTTTTCTCATCAAAGAATAACATGATCCCTGAAATCCATCTCTAGTGAATAAATGAATGGTTTCAGCAAGATTTGACTATGGCTTGGACAGTTTTTCAGGATCCTGATTTGCTGCACTGGTCTGTAAGTCAGCATGCCTAGGTGTCTGTAATACTTGAGCCTGCCAAAGTCAAAGAGCCACCCAGCGTTCTCTGCATCCATAAGTCATTCACCTGTTTGTGGTCTTCCTTGACAGCTGTCAGTTCAGCACTCAGCTGATCTACTTCTTTCTGAAGCGCATTTTCACTTCTATAAATAAATATAGATAACATGTCATAAGAATGTAAGAACATAGTAAAAGACATGCTGGATCAGACCAGAGGTCCATCTGGTCCAGCACTCTGTACACACAGTGGCAACCAGCTGCCCACAGGATCTTGCAAGATCTCTGCCTGCCCAAGCTCCTCAGCAACCAGTGCAGGCAGGCAGGCAGGCCACCTTCGGTAGTGGAGTAGCAAATAGCCAGCAAGGCTCATTGCCGCTAATGCAGGGGTGGGCAATTAATTTTCCTATGGGGCCACATGAGAAACTTCGACAGTTGTTAAGGGCCGGACCAAGCAGTTGTATTGCTCGCATCTATATTGCGACGATATATATTTGCATTGACTTTTAATTTGCCAGTGACCTCATGCGGGCCAGTCAGGGTCAGCCATCGGGCCGGATGTGGCCCGCGGGCCGTACAATGCCCAGGTCTGCGCTAATGGCTTCCTCCTTCTTGAATCATGCATTTCATTTATATCCAAGCCATGTTTGGAGAAAATTAAAAACCTAGAATAAATAAACTATCATACAGATTGGTTTATGTCAAAACTTATAGTTTCTTACGCTCTTTGATCTATGCTCTGTATATACCTGGAAGCCTTTAACTTAGCTTTTCCCAACCTGGTGCCCTCCAGATGTGCTGCTGTCATCATCCTCACATGACGATGCTGACGGGGGGTCAACAGGCATTGCAGCCCAGCAGCTGGAGGACCCCAGATTTCAGGAAACTTTTCTAGAAGAAGCCTATCATGAATATACGCTTTTTAGACATGTTAAGTTTTTTTGTGTGTTTGTTTCTTTTTGTTTTCAGTTGCACTTTCAATTTTTCCTATTGTTTCGTTTATAATGTTCAATTTTAGATATTTTAATAATTGTAGTTTTTATATTGTATTTCATAATGTTATATTATGTCAGCCATCCTGAGCACTTCCATGGAAGGATGGGATATAAAAGCTGTAAATAAATAAATAAATAAATAAAATATGAGGATCTGGCTGGGAAGGCTGCCTAAACTTCATTCTCACTCTCTGCAGAAGTTGCTTTTTTCTTTGGATTCCCAGCAACCACACATGTGACTGGAGACAAAAAAATATAAGAGCTTGCATTTGAAAAAGCAAAATATTAGAAGAGTACCTGAATTTGGGGAGGTGGGATAGTACTGGCAAAGACACCGGCATACTCAATGGCAGTCAGGAACAAAAAACCACAAGGATAAACTTTGGAATTATACTACTGAAATGCATGCTGTCTCATTCTAATAACAGGTTTCATTCAGCAAACACCTCCTGCCAATGGAAGGAACCCATCCATTGGCTGGAGGCTTTTGATTTCTGAGCGTTTTGGAGGCAGGAGAGGAACAGATCTTTGCCGGCTCTACCATTAGGTGGCAGATGCTGGAAGGCAGCAATGAAGTTAGCTCCTAAGTTAGTTTGCTACCTTATGTGTGGTGGAGGCAAGTCACAGCTCAGTGGGAGGTCACCTGCTTTGGATGCAGAGTGTCCTGAGATAAGTCCTTGACATCTTCAGCTAGAGCTAGGAAAGAATGCTGCCTTTTACTCTGGAAATCCTGGAAAGAAATACTCTGGAAAGACTGCTGCCTGTCAGTGTCAATAGTACCGGGTGAGATGGGACAATGGCTTGTCTCAGTAAAAGGCAGATTCCTATGCTCTGGTGAAGATGCTGTCCTATCACCTGTGTGAAAGAAAGGTTTAACTGCCAGTTCAGGTTTTGTATATGAAATGAGAGGTGACGCTGTCTCTGGCTTGGGCCATGGACTTTCCACTGCAGTTCTGTATGTTCCCTGAAAATTTGCTCCTGGGCACCTCCAGAGCAGTGGGGAGGTGATGCTAGAAGCTGCAAAGGAAAGGGTGAATCAGAAAATGGCCTTCCACTGTCTTTCCACCAGTGGGAGCATCCTGAGAAGAACTTTGCAGGAGGAATAAAACTCTGGAGCCAACCCAAAAATAACCACAGCAAACAATTCTACATATTGCTGTGGACAGCCAGTGTGCTGTACTGGTTAGAGTACTGGACTGAGCCTCTGGAGACCTGGGTTCTAATCTCCACTGTGCCATGAAGATAGCTGAATGACTTGGCGGTAATTACTCTCAGCCTAACCAACTCACAGAGTTGTTATGAGAAGAGGAGGAGGATCATCCATGCTGCCTTAAGCTCCATGGAGGAATGACAGGATGCAAATGTAACCAATAAATGCATGACAGATAAATAACTTGACTATTGGATGACCTTCTTCAGCTTCAATTATAGACCAACAAAACTTCATTCAGCTTCCTTTCTTTAGAATGCAAATGGATTTTTCCAGCTGGGTTTATTTTTTTCTTTATCCTGGCAACACGATAGCCATTTTGATGCATGATTAGAAGTTTGCGCGAAACAGAACAAATGCAGATTGGGCTGAGCAAAGCAGACTCAGAATGCAGTGACAAACTTACAGGGTCACATTCTGCCCAACCCACACACAGCATGGCTGCACATATGGACACAAAGTAGCACCCATGCAGTTAACTTCCCAAGCAAATGTACTATATCTATACTGGCCTTCCCCAGCCTGGTGCCCAGCAGATGTTTTACATCAGTTACAACTTCCAGCTTTCTGGATGAAAACTAAAGCCCAAACCCCTCCTCGCTAACTACAGCTCTTCCTGCATCATCCCATGCTCAAAGGAGTTTTGGGTGTCACATTGATCCAGGGGAAATAGGAAGGGTGGACAGCCCCTTGTGCTTTCACATTTGTTTTTTTATTATATATTCATTAAAAGCTTTTCTATTCTGTCCCCTACAGAACACCTCGGGGCAGCTTACAATAAATTTTATAGCACCTCCAGCTCATCCACTCAGTGCTATAGCTCCGGAAGATATACAATCCCTCCACTGGGTACTTATGCATCACAGGTGTCTGGGGAAAAGGGGTGAATGTTAATTTCAGATTTAGGAAAACTAGAAATATAGAGACCATGCAGTTAACTGCTAATTTTTGTTGTTGTTGTTCCTATGTGCACACAATGATAAGGAGCAATGGGGTTAAAGCACAACATCAGGTAACACAACATATACCAGGCTTCTGTAACCTGTTGCCCTCCAGATGTTAGAACTCCAACTCCCTTTGGCTCCAGTTAGCATAGTCAAAATTCAGGAATGCTGGAAGTGATAGTCTAAAACATCTGGAAAGGCACCCATCACAGAGAGCTGGGTCTAGATCAGGGTGCAGGAGGGCCACATCTGATGCTAGTTCAGGGTTGCAGAGTTGTGTGCTTATGCACACACACACACACATACACACACACAGTATAGTCACAAAAGCAATCTGTATAAAGATTACCCAGGGAAGGAGTGGAAAGCCTTCTGTTCGCCTGCAACCCAAACACGGATTTGCTTTTCCTCATTGCTGCTACTAGTACACAGAGCAGTCTGTATCAGGGTTGTTGGAAAAGAGAATTCAGCAGCAGGGGATCGTGGCACACACAGGAGACCACCATCTGGGCCACGGGGGCCATAGGTTATGCTCTCCAGATCAAGGCCACATGTGGTTAGGAATGCTAGATGCTATGTGCCTTCCATTACATGAATGTCCCATAAAGATGAGATTTGCCTGTGCTTTCTCAGATCTGTTCTCTCAGTACTGATGAGCACTGAATACCTTCTTTCTCTTGAGAACACTGGTAGGGTCACTCTGAAGGTTCCCTGCACTGGTTGTGGCTTGCTTGTTCTTGGTGTCTCCTCTCCCCAGGATTGTTCTGGCAGGATAGCAGCATGTCTTTTCAGTGGCAACTTTGCTGCAAGGCATGATGAACTCATGCTTGGCTCTCCATTTCACACTGTGCAGCTTAAATTCAAGCTTTAATTTCAGTTTAGAAACTCAAGCAGAGGAGCAAAGAAACAGCAAGACTGACGGTATTGGGTAGCCAAATGAGAAAATGATTTAACAGTTTTTCCAGGATTCATTTTGTGGATATTACTTGCATAGGTGTTACACATTTGTTGTGTTGAATCGGATGTCTTCCTTCACAGAAAATGAGCTATCAGCAACAAATGCTGTGGAGAGGTTCACATTTTCCCAGCCAGAACTTGAATTATAGTGTGTGAAAACATGATTCTTCCTGCAGCTAGTACACAGAGATATCCATTCTCGCCTATTAATGCTCTCAGGCCAAACATGGTTAAGACCATAGGCACAGAGGCTGGTAAAAAGAAATAGTAACGCCATTCAGGCTTCCTTTGGGGGATGGAAAAGCAGGGAACAATTCCTAAAACAACTATATAATAAACAGGATTTTGAATAATGAAGGCCTTCAGAGAATAGTGAACCTGTTCTATCCATTCCTACCCCCAGCCTGCCCTAGACTTGATGAGATTTATTTGCCATTTAGCAGTTCAAAGGGGACTTGAGCCACAGCTAGACGGCACAATATATACTTTGGAATCTTAGGGTAAAAGGAAGGCCGTTCTTATGACAAGCCCGGTGGTGGCTGCCCTCATCAGTTTATTCATGATATGGGTGACAAAGCCTGAATGGGTGGCATGCTTTTGTTTCCATTGCTTCCTTCAGAGAGATAGAGAACTGCATTGTTTGCTCAGCCATTCAACCAAGGAACTGTGAAGTGGTATCCCTTTTAAGTTTCTGTGACACTTAAGAATCACTGCTAGAAACAGACATTGCTAGGGGCTTAAAAGGCTTGAAGCTCAGGCCTGTATGGCACAAATCTGCATAAAATGTACACATGTATACATGTATACATTTCTCACACACAGCCACAAAATTAAGTTTAGCGGGGTGGGAACTCTGCTAGCAGCACATGAAGAAATATTTTTCTTAAACTTAACCGCTATGCAGGGGGAATTTGAGGAGGGGGATATTGGAGTCTGCAGGGAAGGAAAGGTTAACCTTACCCTTCTTAGCTGCAATTTCCCTTGACAATTGTTCTTGCATGGCAATTAAACTGAGAGGGGAGGAAAAAAAACCCTTTCTTTAGTACTGGTAGATACTCATGGATGGGGGGGGGGGGAGGAAGAGCTGGGGCCCTGGTAAATTTATTAGGGTCTAGACCCCCATGGGACCAATCTAGTTAAGACCTTAGCTGGAAACATGGAAGGAATTCCTGCAAGAGGTGACTTACAATCCAGGGACATGAATGGAATCAGACATTTAGTAAGACTTCTTAGCTCTTCATGTGGAAGTTACACCACCTAAGTTTGACTCATTTACAGTGATTCTGCCATTTATGAAGTGGTGGGCTGAGGTGGTAGTTTCCTATCACTGGCTTTTTTCAAGGAACCCCATGGCAAAAAAATCTCTGCATGCAGAAAACTAGCACACTATCCTGAGCCTTTCCTTCAGTTAGTTCTTTTATGTGCATATTTCTTTTCTACTGTGGTAGAGATCCACTCCTACAGCCTGAATGGCACAGCCTAAGCTCTTGACCAGCTCAGAGCCTAGTCTCTTGCAGTCCAGTTCCTTCCCCTGTTGCTTGGATGACATGAGAACTCGGGCTACAGAGGAAGTACCCACATAGCAGCTGCTCCTCTGTTGCCCCCACTGGAGACATGCTGGTGTGAGTTGGAACTGCACAGGCACGACACTGGAGATCCCCTCCCAGCTAGGGATGGCAACCTCTAGCTACCCACTTGGAGTACATCACCATTTGGCTTGATTACAGGACATTGATCTTCCATTCAGCAGATCAACCTGCTAAAGATGTTTACAATCTCACTTTTGTGAGGCATGCTGGAATGTTAGTTCCTATGGGAACAGTCACACAACATTTACCCATCACTAGATACTCCCCGCGCTTCTCAGCAAGGTAATTCAGCCACCCTGAATGTAACTGGAAAGACAGAGCCCTCCTCCGTGGTCACCTAAATTTGGCAAGGCCTTGTTTTTTAAACCTATATGTGTTTTGAAGTATACCCCAGTGTCAGCCAGGTTTCTGTGACTCACTTCATGGATGATACTTTCTGCCTTGACTTCACAAGCTCCTGCAAAATGCAGCTAAGTCTGTCAGACGGATCCTTCTGGGCAGCCCTTTTCAGCCCTTTGATTTCCAGATCCCTCTGATGAAGCAACAGGAGCAGGGCACGTGGGTTTTCCAGCAGCTTCTGATTCTGCTCTGACATGGTAAATTCCCTGCAAAGGAGTCAGAAGACCTGGGTTTGTATTCTGTGACCTCAAGGAAAACCACTTTGGCTCAGATGGCAGGGAAGCTAATTATATGAGAAGCTGCCGACAATTTTTTCCCAAATAAGTGAAAGTAGCACGAGAGAAGGATTGCTGTTTCTGGTTTGAATGCACATTTTTGCCTCTTGTAAATGTTTTTTGTATCCTTTCAAAACCCTACAATTCCTGTTTGACTAGAGGTGACCAAGAAAAAAGTAGCATGTACACATCAGAGAAAGTAAATATGCACTCTAACACTACCACACTATCAGCTGCCTCCAGCCAGTGAAATGCAATTTTCCAAGGCTGGTCAATGGTGATGTAGATTTTTTTTCCTGGGACCTACAGTGCTCTGCTATCTGTAGTGTAATACATCTTCCTGCACATCTGGAAGTTCTGAGTTGAAAGTAGCCATAAGCATCAAATGGAAGTAAAACACATATAGGGACCCTTTGATCAAAAACTTGCTTGCATGCATGCCTCTCTTTTTACACACCTCTTTCTATACTATCACCTTCCTTCCTTTTTCTTTCTTTCTTTCTTTCTTTCTTTCTTTCTTTCTTTCTTTCTTTCTTTCAGTTCTAATTCTTTCTCATTCTACTTCATAATTAATTAATTAATCCAGTCTAATTGCATTATTTGCACTAGCTGGAAGAAAATAAATTTCATGGGGCCGCTGATTCATATGCAGCCCTTAATATATAAGGACCAAAGTACACATGACTTTTGTATGCTCTCTATCTAAGTGCACGTCCAGTAGATATGGCAGCCCTTAAAAGGGAATGTGCGATTAAATGCATTATTTGCTTTGGGAAATTCATGTTTATTATAGATTGATCCCACCAGTTGGGAGTGAGGAAGATGGCTGTTTTGGGCACATATTCTGCAGGGCTGCTGACGGGGCTTCAGAAGAATCAGAAGAAGGGGGAGGGAAGCGGGGCGGTGGGTGGATGTGGTCCATCCCAAGACACCGAGATGGGAGAAGTGGAGACACTTATCTCAAGGCCAGATTCCCCAGATGGGCAGACAGTCTCTGGAAATGACCAAGATGTACAGTTGGCAGGAGGGGGCTTGGAGCAGAGTGGTTTCTCAGACACAGATGTGTTGTTAGCAGAGGAGGGCAGCCCAACTAGAGAATTGGTATGCAGTAAGACGGTGTGCTTGTTCTCAGAAGGCCCCATGGGGCCCAGAAGGGATGGGGCCCAGGCATGCTCATAAGGAGGGCTCCTGGAGGTGAATACTAGATTGGGTTCAACACACCTCTCTGTGCTCGCTCAGAGATTTGCTCTGGGTGTTTTGTGCTTTTGGTAAATAAAGAACCCTTGGTAAGGAAAAGGTCTGTGGCTCAGCTTCTAATACTACCCTTCCAAGGAACTCAGGAAGCCATATATTAGAAGTTACTGACAATAAATCTGAAAGGTAGCATAGTGAATTGCCCAAACCCATCCAAAACCACCCTGACCCCAGACAGTGCCCAGTAGTTGTTCAATACTGCACCCAGTGAATTGTACATGACACTAACTGAGCTTCAGTTTCCACATATTCAAATGGGAATAGTAGTGGCCTACCTCCCCAGGCTGTTGTGTTCATAGCTATTATTTAGTCAGAGAATGTCTATGCTAGCCTTCCAGAAAAACACTTAGTGTGGCTTATGATGGAAACCACAAACATATAAAGGCAATGCAAGGTAAAACAGGAGAAGTACCAACTGAAACAATACCACATGCCAGAATGTTTGGGAAATAAAAAACTCTTTCCTCACCCTGGAATGAGATCAAAGTTGGTATGAGGCAGTTTCCTGGAAAAGGCATTTTAGATAGACTGCTCCCCTCCTCTCCCCTGGGTAGACAGAGTGAAAGTTTTAAACAGAGAAAGGTAGCAGAGAAGAGGGAGAAGGTGTGGCCCTGGCCACTTTTGGCTCTTGCTGAACCTACCACAGGCATATAGCACCTGGTAGATAATCCCAAACGAAAGTAGGTATCAGTAGAAAAACAGTTTCTTACTCCAGCTTACAGACAAAATTAGATATAAACCAACCTCTGTAACTCAGTGCAGCATGAATGCATTCATCCCTTATTCTTATGGCTGTTCACCTGTAGTATAAAGTCCTCTTCCAACTTGCGTATATTTTCTGCATGACCCTTTTCTATGTGTTTTGCATCAAGCCAATTCCACTTGTCCTCCCAGAATTGATTTTGACTCTCCATATGTTAGAATAATTACAGAATGTTTGCTATGCAGGGCTCTGTTCAGCAGCTGCCAATCTCTTCTCCTCCCTCCTCCTCACAACCCAGGGGTCAGGTTTTCTGGCTGCAGCAAGCAGGGATTCCCGTGATATCCTGGCTCCTCTAAGATCTGGAGGTTCTTTTACCTGTCTCCATCTGTCTCCCATTCCTTCCACTTGATTGCATAAGCAGTAAATGAAGTGAGTGGTTTTGTTTGTGTTTGAATTCCTTTGGTTGCCATGGGGTGGGCGGGAAGGGGATTAACAACTAGAATATGCAACTTTGCCTGCTAGGTAAAGGCAATACAAGGATGGAAGAAATTATCCCCCTCCACTCCACCTCTATAATATCCTTCAGAAATAATAAGACTCTCTTTCCTGCCTGGTGATAAGGAGAGGCAGGAAAGTTTGCTTTGCAGACAAGCTTCTGCTACAGTCAGTCATGATGGGGACAAGTGAAGCCACAAGGATGCTGCCCAAATGGTCACAATTTCTGCTTTTGATTAACAACTCAGGAACATCCCATTCCTGGGTTGTTTCATGATGTGCAAACCCTGAAACTCTGGATTGTTTCAGGGTTAACTCAGCTACTGTGTTTATATAATGCTCTTTAACCCATGGATAGGTTTCTCTCAGGGTGGGCATGACAAAGACTGAGACCAAGTTATTGGTGGTCCAATTCTTTCTGTACTAAGGGCAGTGCCCGCCCTCCCACACCTACAATAGTGTCACCACCATCCATCATAGTTCCCAATTAATTTATCTAAACAGATAACTGGTGCAGGTGCCTCAGTCTTTCACTGGCACTCTCTCTTTTGTGTCCTTGGCTAGGCTAGTTGCTGCTGGGAGAAAAACCTGTGGTGCATGCACTCTTTCCAGGAGAGCTGTGCTATGCCTCTGGCTCCCCCTCCTGTCTATTCCTTGTACATCCTCAAAAAGGAGCTCCGGCCTTCCTGACTGGGTGTTGTATTATCAAGCTTCTGTCTTAATGTGGCTAAAAGAATGGATAACCTTAAGAAATAAGAGAATCCTTTATCTTGAAGGGCATGATCTACAAATGGGTTGGCACGCCTATAAGTGGCATGAGAAGTGTAAGACACATGGTTGTTTTTTAAATCACTATATTAGAAAGTCATTAATGTCGGTGTGGGAAAAATTAAAGACAAAACTGTACACTAAGTTGCCAAGATGGCTTTCGCCTATGGAAGCTCTTGTATATCCAAACACATGGAATTTTGATATGATTGTGAGATACGATGATATTTTGGAAAACGACGGAGGATTGAAACTGAATCAAGAATTACAAGAGCAGGGTATTAATATCTCTTGGAGGCATAAGGTTCAAATACAATCGAGATATGTTAAAGATTATAAAATGTGGAGTTTTTATAAGGAGTTAACATTTGACCAAGTGATCTTAAAATCAGATGAGAAAATGATTAAAAGACTGTATAATTTTCTTTTGGATATGAGAATGGAAGATGAACAAGTTAAGGAAACTATGATAACATGGGCACAAAATTTTGGATATAATATTGAGTTACAGTAGTGGCAAAAGTTGTGGGAAAGAAATATCAAGGTAACCTTAGCAACCTCATATAAATAAAATCTTTATAACATGTTTTATACATGGTACTTATCGCCAAATAGATTAGAAAAGATGTTTCCAAATATGTCAAATGGATGTTGGAAATGCAAACATAAACAGGGTACTTTTTATCATATGTATGTGGTGGACTTGTGATAAGGCAAAAAAATATTGGGCTAAAATACATAAATGGCTTGAGGAAATGTTACAAAAATCTTTAATATTTAAACCTGAAGTCTTCTTACTAGGCATTGTGCCTGATGATGTTGATAAACAAGCAATGTATTTGATTCTACATGTAATTACCGCAGCAAGGATTGTATTTGCCAACATTGGAGGAGTGAAGAACCACCCACTGATGAACTGATTTTAAAAAAGATTGTGGACTGTGCTGAAATGGACAGGCTGACTTTGTCTCTGAAGGAGAAAGAGGATACATACTGCTGTCAAACTTGGAACTCTTTTTATTGTTGGCTAGAGAAATGGGACTATGCATAGATTTGAATATGTCTGTGGACTGCTATTTAAAAAAAATAGGGGCTGACCCAGCAGGTCTGATGTCTCTGATGACTGATTTTTTTTAGTTTCTTTTTTTTAGTTTGTAGAAAATAATAATAAAATTTACTTTAAAAAAAGGAGCTCTGGGCATTACTGCAGGAAAGAAACACAGATTGGGTTTGGACAACACAAAGACCTTGCACAGATTGCTACTCATGATGGGATATCATGCCACACAAACCAGGAGCAATTTCTTCAGAGTGGTTTGTGTGTGGGCAACAAGCCACTCCCATGGCTCATTTTAGAAGCTCTTCTACCTATGACGGGTTATCGTATCATTCAAACTTGGGCCACCGACCCCATTGTGAGTAGGGGTAATTGCCTAGCAGGCCCCCTGGTGAGAGTGACAAAATACCCTTGCCATTCTTTCATGCAGTTTTCAGTGAGAGCTAATTCAAGCCACCACTAAAGTGCCCAAGCAGCACCTGGGGACAGCTGACACTGGTTTCTTTCACTCCTTGCTCTTTTTTTCTCCCCTTTTTTTTACCCCTTTCCTTGAGATGTCAGGAAAGCTTGATTCCAGTTTCCCAATTCCTGTTTGACAACTAAGACAGTGGCAACTTGGAAGAGTTGCACATGCCGCCCAGACT